GTGCTGTTTCCACAAGTTCCTCTTGAGGAAGTTCTCTGCACAGGTCTGGCTACGGCCAGCTGTTGGAGGGACTGTGAAGATACCCAGGGGACCTGGTGTCTCACGGGGACCACATTGCAAGGGACACTCAAATAAGGAAAATTAAATTGCTCATGCTGAAAAGGGACGAATACTTCCTTCTGACATTTCCTCAAAAACTGGAGTGTGGTCAGTTCTTTGTCTGACTCTGCGAAATCACTTCACTCGTGTTTGACTCTGTGTGACCCCACAGACGGCAGCCCACCAGGCTCCCCTGTCCCTGGGATTCTCCAGGCAATAGGCTGCCATTTCTGACTCTCTGCAGTGTATGCAAATCTTTTCTGTAAGTTAAATAAGCCTCTTGGGAAGTTGACAAACCAAGATTGTTCCTTCAGGGACCTGGCAGTAAAAGCAGGGACCAAGAGCCCATCAAGCAACAGGTAAAGGGCAGAAAACATTTCTGGGGGCAAAAGAAACAGTGTAAGCAACAGCAGTGCCTTCTCGGAACTCCCTGAGATTATATACTGTGCAACAGTACAGCTGGACACAGAGCTCCCCTTCCACAACAGCCATTTGTCACAGGTCTAGGCAACACAGAGCAAGGAAGAGACAGCAAAGCCTTCACTTGCAGACAAAATCACAATTCACTTGGGAGAGTGGAAAATAGTCCTGTTCTCACAATAAATGTCCTAGTTTATACAAAAGCCGTATCTTCTTATAGTATATCCATCAGGGTCCACTAACTTCTGTCCCTCAGCTATGCTAACCCAAAGGAAGGGCACGAGAATGGAGAAAGGAGACAGGAGAAAGAGCGCTGAGCCCACAATGCCCACCACAGTCTTCACACCAAAGACCCGTGTCCTCCCCACTGTCAGTCTTCCCTTGTACTCTCAGAGCCTCCTCCTCATACTCCTGCTGGGCCCAAATTTCCCGAATCAAGAGAAAGCAAAAGCCTGACATGGGGAAACCATCAGGCCTTTTCCCTCCCCCAATTGAGCTCCCCTTTCATCTCCCCCACTCCAGTAGCACACCACCACAAACAGTGCATAACTGTCCCTCCACTGTTGTACCAACAACAACTTCTTCCTTGAGAGTGCAGAGAAGGTCCCCCTGTGGCAATGTCACCCCCACCAACAGGAAACCCCAAATGGAAGAGGAGCCACCACCAGCCAGCCTTTCTGCTAGAAAGGCTTTCTAGCAGATTCATGGGTGGGAGAGACAGCTACAGCCTGGGGGTGCAGCCCTCTCCCACAAGAGGAATACAAGGGCTTCATCCGCCAGCTGGGGCACCTGACTCGGGAGGTTCCTGGACATCCAGGCTCATCAGCATATGCCCCGAAGGAAGCAAATGGCCCCGGATTCATGGACAGTTCACTGACTAGACCCATCAGACCTCTGTCTTCCAGCCAATGTGCAGAGTGTGCTCAGTGGAAGAGTGCAGAAGGTGAATGTGGAAAGTTCCAACCACATTCTGATAGACAGAGTTGGGACTCCTCAGGATTCTCAAAGTGCCCTCGCTCGGCACAATGGCACAGAATTCTGACATCAGGCTACCGCCAACTTCTGCCAAAGACTCAACATTTCCCATGCATCACATGCTGCCAATGCCAATATGCACCTTCTTTAGGACTTTAGCAAGGCACCTGAGGTGTGTGAGTGTCAAAGGAAGAAGTGTCTGGTTGGTATATCAGTAGAACACACCAGCAACAGCAGTTCACATTCATGTGCCTCTTTATGGCCACAGGTAGTCTCAACAGAAGAGTTGAGTGGTCTACTCAACCAAGTGTAGTCAACGTCAGCAGGCGCCTCCCAGGAGATCCTCTCAGATTACTGCTCTAGGCCACAGTATAGGAGGGGCAAAGGTCACCTTTCCTGAGTTGCTTTTCACAGCCTAAGGCAGTGCACAGACTGAAGCAGGAACACTAGAACATCCCTAACAGTGAAGTCCAGAATTCTGAAGAATGCTGTCACATAGGGTAAAGCCTTCATCATGAAAGTCTCACCTTTGCTGGACAGGAATCCACTCTCATGTCACACTCAGTGATGTGAACTATTATGTTCAGTCCCCTTGCTACAATGATCCCAGGCAGTACCAGGGATTGAGAAATAGGTAGGAGACACTTTTGACCACAGAAAGTCCAATGCACCTTTCACACTGAAGGCCTATGTCCTCCTGTCCAGCTTTCTCTTGTGCTCTGACAGCAGCCCTACAGAGGGTCACTCTTCCCAGCCCCTTCCCCACCTCTAGGCTTTAGGCACCCCAACGAAGGTCCATATGTAGCCAGTCATTCCGTCTTTCCTGATCAGTGAACTCCTTCCCGCTTTGAGCCTCTAATCTCTACAATACTTCTCCTGAAAAGAAGCGACAATCAAAAGTGGCCTGAGAACCACTCATGTAACTCATTTGGTTCAAGATTCAATTGGTACAGCTCCTATGGAAAACCGTATGAAAGCCCCTCAAAAAATGAAAAAGAGAACTACCATCTAGTCCAGCAATCACACTTGAGGTATGTATCCAAAGGAATACCTCACACCACAAATTTATAGAACATTCACATTCCCACGAGTGAGTAGACATTCACTAGGTACTGTCTCATGAGCCTAAGTGACATGGCTGGCCTGGGAATGAATTCCTGGGAAAGAATATATATAATATAATAAGAATATAATATAAGAATATATATAATATGGAAAATCAATAAATATTTATTGTATTACCATACAGTTCTTGCTGCTGATCAAATATTGACAAAAAAGATAAGCAAGTTTCCTGCTCTTAAAAGGCTTACGTTGTAGTGGGAAGAGCAAATAATAAATATATAAGTAAAGTAATTTCAAACAACAGTAAATGATAATGGATTACTGTGGGAGAGCCTATCTAAGTAAGGGATGGAATCCTGGCTTTAATGATGAGAAAGAGGCATCCATATGAAGTATTGGGAGGGAGACTGTCATGTGCAGGAGTAAACTGTTCAAGTGGAAAGTTTCCCTGACAATAATGAACTCGATGTGTTCAAGGTACAGGCATGAATCAGTGCATTTGAGCACTGTGAGGATGAAAATGGTCACAGATGAGCCTCATGGAGGTAAACAGATGCCAGATCATGCAGAGTCTTAAGGGTCTTAGTAAGGAAATGAGGGTATTTTAGAGTTGCAGTGGGGACTGATAGGAGTGCGTTGTGTAGGCATGTTATCCTACTTGGCTTGTACAGTTGTCTCTCTGTCCGCAGGGATTGGTCCCAGGACCCCTTGAGGATACAAAAATCCAAGTCCCTTATCTAAAATGGCAGTGAGTGAAAGTCACTCAGTCATGTCCAACTCTTTGTGACCCCATGGACTATACAGTACTGGAATTCTCCAGGCCAGAATACTGGAGTGGGTAGCCTTTCCCTTCTCCAGGGGATCGTCCCAATCCAGGGATCCAATCCAGGTATCTTGCATTGCAGTCAGATTCTTTACCAGCTGAGCCAAAAGGGACTCCCAACAATACTGGAGAGGTTAGCCTATCCCTTCTCCAGGGGATCTTCCAGACACAGGAATCGAACCAGGGTCTCCTGCATTGCAGGCAGATTCTTTACCAACTTGAACTATCAGGGAAGCCCTTAAAATAATAGTAGTATTTGCATATAACCTATACACAACCTGTTATATACTTAGAATCATCTCTAAATTACATATAATACCTAATAGGATATAAACACTATGTACATAGCTGCAATGCATAGTAAATTCAAGTTTTGATCTTTGGAACTTTCTGAATTGAAAAAATTTTTTTTTGGTTTGGTGGTTGGTTGAAACAGTGGATAAGGAACTCAAAGATACTGAGAACCAAGATATTTTTAATGTGTTTTAAAAAAGATCATTCTAGTTGCTTTCTGGAGAATGGATAATAGGAAGACCAGAGTGGAAGCAGTGTGGCTGAGTTTAGGTTTGTGTTAGTGTAACTGTATAAATGTGAATGGACATTCTCATAATCTTCCTGGACTTCGCAGACTAAAGGGTCCATCTTCCTATTCCATTACCTCACATAGCACTTACAACTACCATTTAATCATTTTTTTTTTGTTTGTTTATTGCCTGTTTTTCCCTTCTAGGGTTGCCAAATAAGGCCGCTCAGTTGAATTTGCATTTCAGATATTGAGTAATTCTTTACTCCTAGTGTCCTTGTGTTCTCAGTCGTGTCCAACTAAAGACTGTAGCTGGCCAGGCTCCTTTGTCCCCGGAAATGCTACAGGCAAGAATACTGGAGTGGGCAGTCATTCCCTTCCCCAGGGTATCTTCTCAAGCCAGAAATCAACAACCTGCATCCCAGGTAGATTCTTTGCTGTCTGAGCCAGCAGGGAAGCTCAGGGAATTCTTTAGTCTGTGTGCTCCCAAATACTGCATGGTGAAGCCCTATACTAAAATTCTGTTCTTTATCTGACATTCAAATAAACGGGGCATCTTGTATTTTTATTTACTAAACCTGGCAACATTACCCCCAATAGAACGCAAACTCCTTGAAGGGAGGAACCCCTTCTGTCTCCCAACTGGTTTCCCAGTGTATATCCGGGACACAGACTAGGAGCCCACACACGCTTATTGAATGCATTAACAAAGGATTTAACTACAGAGCGATCGAATAAGAGCCCCTCGGTGAGGGTGTAGACGAAGACCGGAGGCAACGGGGAGAAACATAGGTGTTGACCCGGAGACTGGGGTGCAGCGCCACCGGGCCTGGGCGGCCTGCGCGCTGAGGTCACGGGCGCCGGCCCGGTGACGTCATCACGGCCGCGCTGTCCGCCGGGCTCGAGCTTCATTGGCGCCGGCACCTCGCCGGCTGTTGTGGAGACCGAGGGCTTTCTGCTGCGCTCTGCGCAGTGCAGGCCGCCTCTGAGGCCGCCCGGCCCCGGCCAGGGTCCCAGAGGCCCACTTGCGCGGTTGTTGGCTGTCAGCCAGCAGGACTGGCCGCTCTACCGCGGGGAGAACGTCTCCTCAGGGCCATGTCTAGGCCGAGCAGCGTCTCCCCGCGGCCGCCGGCTCCCGGTGGGGGCGGGGGCGGCCCCGCGCCCTGCTGCCCTGGGGGCGGCGGCCGTGCCAAGGGGCTGAAGGACATTCGTATAGACGAGGAGGTGAAGATTGCAGTCAATATCGCTCTGGAGCGCTTCCGCTATGGGGACCAGAGAGGTGAGGTTCCTGACAGGGACCCCGCCGGCTGCCCCACCTCCCGGAAGCCCGGCCCCTCGGTGGGCAGGGGCTGCCTCACGCGTGGGAGGGAAGATGGCTCGGCGCGGGCGAGGAGGGCGGGGGGCGGAGGCCGGCGTGGTCGCCCTCTCCCGGGATGTGAGGAGTCGCTGAGTGCTGCGGGTCAGCCAAGTTTCGGGACCCTTCGTGGCGTCCGAAAGCGAAAAAATCAGGTTGCTCCGTAGCGGGAGGCATTTCTTTCCCTAGGGAGAGGCCTTCCGGTAGTTTTGTCACAACTTTTAGGTATTGTTTAGCCCCTGCCTTTTTTTTTAGCCCCTGCTTTTTTTTTGTTTTTTTCCCTAAATCGAGGTAGATTTACTTTGAGTTACGGAAGTAGAGGAGCGGAAGGAAATCGTAGAGATAAATGAAGTGGCAACATGTAGTCCTTTGCTTAAATCCTGGAAGCATCACTCTATTGAACAGTTTTTAAAAAAAAGGAGTTAGACTCCTGGTAGACAAAACATCTTCCACACCTCTTAAGGTTAGAAAGCGACTTGAGTCACACAGTGCAAAGCCAGCAGCCGATCTGTGATCAGTACAGTATATATTAAGTGCTCGTTCTGATTTGCTGGTCTAAGTACAAGACCCTCTTACTCTGGAAGCTTAATTAAAAGTGTCTTAAAGAAAAAGAAGAGAAAATATATGAAGCCCCAGAAATACGCAGCATATCCAGTCTGAGATAGTAAAATATGAATTCTGTGCAGTTTTGAAGGCAAAGACAGTGGAATCTGATGTTGAGCGTTCATAATTCTTGAGCATATCTCATCATTAAAGGAAATAAGCATTTTGTTAATTAAACAAGAGGTAAGATAGTAAACTTGTCAGTTTTTATAGGAGCTCAAGCAGCACAAGTAAGAGTAGTAATCTTTGGTGAACATCAGAGTCCTTTATCATATTTAGGTTTAAGTGTTACTAATATCAGAATTCTGGTAGACATTAAGTGGTTAATTAGTACAGGTATATCTGATTATTACACTTTATTGTACTTTGCAGATTTTTTTAAATAGTTGTTTTTTCTTTTTTAAACAGTTGAAGGTTTGTGGCTATTCTCTGTTGTCAGATGATGGTTAGCATATTTTATCAATAAAGTATTTTTAAATTACTGTGTATACATTGTTTTTTAATACATAATGCTGTTGCACATTTAATAGAGTACGGTGTAGTGTAACCATAAATAGGCCAAGGAACAAACCAGCATAGACCCTGGAAACCAAAACAATTTGTATGACTTGCTTTATTATTTTTTATCATTTTACTGTATTATTTATTATATTTGTTTTATTGCAAGAGTCTGGAACCAAACCCACAATCTCACTGAGGTATACCTGTATCTACTTTTCACATGAAATATGGTAAATGTGATTATATGCTTATATGATTTTTTCAAATTTTATAAATACATGTGTACTGAAATACCTTGAAAGAAATTTGCCTATCAGCAAATGATGCTTTGTGTTTTTTTTTTTTTCCATGTAGAAATGGAATTTCCTTCTTCTTTGACCAGTACAGAAAGAGCCTTTATTCATCGATTGAGTCAGTCTCTTGGTTTGGTTTCTAAAAGTAAAGGGTAAGCTGGTAACTTTTCTTAACTAGAGAAACTTTACTGAAAAAGAGAAATGTTTTTGACTAAATAGTTAATACCGTTTTAGATTCACATCCTTAATTATATTGTATATAGAAGATCTGGTTTATGTTTGTACTTTGCTTTTCTTCCTATCCCCCTTTTTTGGTTTCCCTGGTTGGGAGAGGGTGGGAGAAGAAGATAAATTTTAAAATGTTAGCAAAATGGTTTAAAAGTTGAAGTTGATTGCATCCAGAAAGATATTTTCATTTTTTGTAGAAACCAAAACTCTTTTTTTTTTCTTGAAGAATGGATAGCCTTAAAATAATAAATACAATTATTAACAGAACTTATTTTTTAAAGCTACTGTACTATAATGGTATGCTTTAGAACACATGCTTGTTGTTTTCTTTCATACCAAGTCACAAAGCTGATTAGAAATGATTAAATAAAATGGAACTTATGTTCACTCCTGAGTAGAGATCTTTTATTTTTAATCTCCTAGAATTAACTTTGTTAATTTATCTAATTAGTCTTTCTGTTTTTGTTTTTTTTTTTTCTTTTGTGCCTGGTATTATGGTTCCATTATCCCTATTTGAGAGGTATGGAGAAAAGGGCAAGAAACCTGGATTCTACTCCCAGGCTGTCAGTGCTTCATTCTTTAGTTTGATCATGTCCCTTAACTTTAAATGCCAGTGTTTTTTTTAATGTAAAAAAATGAAAGAGTTAATCTCTTTGTGCTAGTTGAGATTCTGTGATCCTGCAGTTTATTTTGAGCTTCTTATATGAGTTGTAAAAACAGATCGCAGAATTACTGTGTGATAATTTACAGTTGTTTTTCTGATCACTTTTTTTTAATATCCTTTCTTTTGAAATGAAACTATGTATGTTGGATTTTGTTTTTCATCTCCTCTTAGAGAGTTGAATTTACTTTGAATTGCTTTTTTTTTAAATAACTGTTCACCTTTTGGTGAAAATACTCTTGTTAGAATAGCACTTGTTTTATGTTCTTTACTATATCCTTATGTTTTCTTAGAAATTCCAGTCAAGTATTCCCATACCCCAGATTTCACCTCCTTATAATTTGTGTCATTTTTCCTGAACTGGTATCACTATGTTTTGGTTCTAAGAGCACACCTTTCTGAGTCTTTTAATTTGTTCATGAAAAAACCAAAATTGGTTCCTATTCTTCTTAGTCCAAGTTAGACAAAATGAAACTTACAAAGTGAACTTGTTAAAAACTTGTAGAGAGAATAGATATAGAGTATATGAAAGCAGGTTTTCCAAGTACAGGTTTTTAATCTTGTGATTGCTGAAGGTGCTGCTTAATAGGTATGCACGTATTTCACTTGGGCTTCCCAGATGGCTCAGTGGTAAAGAATCTGCCTGCCAATGCAGAATATACAGGAGACACTGTTTCGATCCCTGGCTTGGGAAGATCCCCTGGAGGAGGAAATGACAACCCACTCCAGTATTCTTGCCTGAGAAATCCCCTCGACAGTGGAGCCTGGGGGGACATGGAGTCGCAATAGTCCAACATGACTTAACAACTAAGCGTGCGCACATGTGGCATGCATGCAAGTATTTTTCTCACCCTGACCAGGATGCTGTGTCCTATAAGGCCTTCCTTTCAGATTTGAATTATTGCCTCCCTTACCTTCTGCCCTAGAAGATTGAATGCTGCACTCCCCCTCACTTCCCCTAGCTAAAATAAGAAAAATGGGTTAAAAGTGAGGAACCCTGTTAGTGAAGTTTTGGAAATCCATTAAAACCCTGTGATGTACAGAAATAATAGTAACAGTAGCTAATATTTATTAAGTGCCCTTGTGTAACAGGTATTGTGCTAGGTGCTTTAAGTAAATTATCATTTGATCCTCACAATAGTCTTGTATGGTAGGTTCTACTTTTTTAATACGTGATTCCTATATAACAGATGAGGCAAGTCCTTAGAGATATTAGTTTTCCGAAGTTCACACAGCTAGCAAGTGGCAGCAATCAAACATAGTTAATGTTTAGCTAATTTTTGTTGTTTGTAGTGAATTCATAGCAATGTTTTAGGAACTATGAGTAGTTAAGAGGGAAATGTTAGATAATGCTTATTTCGACAAAGAAAGAAAATTGTCACAAACATAGTGTGACATGGAAATAATTGTGTTTAGTGACAAAATTAACTTGGTTTATTATTTCTGAGCTAATCATAAAAAGAAACAGATTTGTGTGGTGTAAACTTCAATAAATTTGTAAATTTGTATTACAGTATCGAAGGTAAAATGGTTTGGAGTTAGGTCTTTGTGTCTGTCTGCCTGTGCTTAGTCACTCAGTGGTATCTGACTCTTTGCCACCCTTTGAACTGTAGCCACCAGGCTCCTCTGTCCATGGGATTTTCCAGGCAAGAGTACTGGCGTGGGTTGCCATTTCCTCCTCCAGGGGATCTTCCTGACGTAGGGATTGAACTGGCATCTTCTGTGTCTCCTGCACTGGAGTGGATTCTTTACCTGCTGAGTCATTGGGGAAACCCCTCTATCTGCCTAGTGGAAGTATAGATTAAAGGGAAATGAAATTAAGTATTTGCTAGACATTAAACAAATGTGTATTATCTTTGTGAAGTGAAGTGAAAGTCCCTCAGTGGTGCCTGACTCTTTGTGACCCCATGGACTATACAGTCCATGAAATTCTCCAGGCCAGAATACTGGAGTGGGTAGCCTATCCCTTCTCCAGGGGATCATCCCAACCCAGGAATTGGACTAAGGTCTCCTGCATTGCAGGTGGGTTCTTTACCAACTGAGCTATGAGGGAAGACTTTGTATATTTGTATAGAGACATTAATTCCTTGGTGGCTGAGAACTTTTAAGTAGTGCTTTCAGATTTTGGCTCTTCAGCAGATTTTTAAACAATTCTCAGGTTTGTAAAGTGGGGAATAGCCGTATGGTTGTATTTGAGGCAAATTGTTCAGTAACATACTGTGTAAATGCAACATTTATGTCATGGTCCATGAGTGGGTTGGAAAAGAATTTCCAGACATGAGACAGAATGAGAGGGAAATAAAGTTTATTAGAGTGGGGGAGGCTGTTATAACAGCGGGCTGGCCCAAGGGAGAGCTGACATTGAATAGGTCCTTGGTCTGTTTTTATAGCCAGGGTACAAGGAGCGGGATAGGGGTCTTGTGGGTCATTTGCTGATTGGATGAGGCCCGTATACTGAGTCGGGGATGAGTAAGGCAAATACTTTTTCCCTGTGGGGTAGAAGGGGAGACAGGTTATGCTGCTCAGGAGGACCTGAAATTTGTTAATAGTTACAGCATGGGTGTGGGAGGGAATGACACCAAGGGTCTGGTTTTTCTCTTCCTACATTCCAAGGCCCTCCTTGGTTTCATCTGCTCTTTCATCCTTGGGTCACCACAATTTATTAATATTAAAATTACATCAAATTTGATTAGTTATATCATTTCTTTAAAAGGAAGAAGCTATTGAAATATTAGAACTTCATTATAATGTATGATTACTTTTTCCTTTGAAAGTTAGAAGTTACAATATTCTTACCTGTACTTTCAGTCCATCTGTACTTAAATATGGCATATATGGCTTGCGTGCTACTATATTTTTAAAACTTCTTGTGAACTTCACTTATCTAGCATCTTTCCTACATTTTGCAGGTTTCTAGTTAATTTTGCTTTGTAAAGGTACTACTAGATTTTCTTTTTTTTTTTTTTTTTAAAGGTACTACTAGATTTTCATGGTAGTGTGTTACCTTGGAATGAAATCATGGTGAGATTTCATTGTATTAATTTACTTAGTAGGACAGCTGCTGTATAGAATGTTTTCATCTGCACAATAACAAAGTGAATATTTTGCCAGAATTTCACTAATTTTTGAATTATATATCAGTGCCACTGTGGTGTTGAATGGTATAGGGACAGCACTAATATTGACAAGTAGAAGTTTTTACTAAAACATAAAAACTAGTAGGTTGGTATTACCTTTCTGTCCACCATCTGTGTTCAAACCAAATTTAGTAAATTTTAAATGCTAGTGGCTAAGTACTCCCACTGCTTAGTATGAGTTATTTTTATACATTGTTTTGCTGTCTTTTGCAACATGAACTCTGTAGCCCACCAGGCTCCTCTGTCCATGGAATTTTCAAGGCAGGAGTACTGGAGTAGGTTGCTGTTTTCTTCTCCAGAGGATCTTTCTGACCCAGGAATCAGAGTAGCATCTCCTGCATCTCCTCTTTATCACTGAGCCACCAGCGAAGCTCATTCTTACACATTAATTCTGTATGATTATTAGGCAATCTCTGTTAGGAAAGTTTCAACCTAACCTGTTCATTTAGTTGTCAGCTTACTGAGGAAAAGTGTGTTTTCCTCAACTTTGTAATCCTGATCTCTAGCATAGTGCCTGGCATACAGTAGGTATTCAGTATATGATGAATGATTGAATAAAAGAGAATTAAAAGTAAAATCTAGGAAAACTTTCCTGAGATGATTTTTAAGAAAATTAAAACATCTTGAAACTGATAGACATATTCGAGATTTTAAAATTAATGGTTCTACTGTGTCAGAGAAGTAAATTGATTTACTTTTGATCGCATCGTTACTTGAAAGATTATTTTAGGTGAACAGAAGCCTCCTGACTCTTGCTCTAGTGCTCATTTCAGCACACTTCTGGCCTTCTATAGTTAAAATTTTATGAAGTAAGTGAGAGAGAAGGGGAATGAGTGACTGATGGGAAAAGAACCTACTATGGAAAACATCTCTAGAATCCAGTAATTCTGATTTACCATGGAATTGACTAAAATTTCTAGATAAGTTTAAATTTTAATAAGTTCATCTTTATGTCATCATTTAAGCATCACTAAGCACTTGTTCAGGAGTAGATGATGGCATAGAAAGGTTATAATTCATGGAGGAATTTTCAGAAGTTAAAAATCTTGGTAAATTGAAGACCAAGACTTAGAAAACTTAGATAGCTAAAACTGTATAGGTTAATCTTCGGTTTCATGTCATTTTATAGTGAAGGTATTGTTGAAAAAAATTTAAATCTAATGAGAATTAGAAAAATTATACATGTATTTTTCATTGTATTTGTGGCTTTGTTCATTTTTGTAAGGTGATAGTGGCATTAACAAATTGTAAAAATTTTATTATAAAGTTTTGGTTAACTTTTTTGGTATAAGAAATGATATTTTTTCCTGGCTATAATCATTGCTTTCATTTATTATATTTAGTATGTACACAGTAAAAGATACTGCCCTTTATGCATTATCTTATTTAATCATGTTAATAGTTCTTTGAGGCAGGTATTATCATCATCATCATCATAGGCTCAGAGCTATTATATAATTTGCTTGTGGTCCCACAGCTAGTAAGTGGTAGAGGTAGGATTCAAATCCAAGTGCATGTGCTTTCAGAGCCGGAGCTCTTTACCAATACTACATTGTACTAGATTATAGACATGTATTATTAAATCCTTCAAGATACATCTGAGGACTTCCTTTGTATGTGACATTGTACTTAGTACTCTTGAAGCTACAGAAGTCATCAAAGATATAATTAGGACTCGTTGAAGAATCTGGTAACTTGAGAGCAGTTATATATCATTACCTTATAATCAAAAGTTGGAGTCGGAAACTTTGAAAGATTTCTTTTTATTTTTTTTTCCCAGTATACATCTGAAAATGCTTATCAATAATGCTGATTTTTTGGTTCAGCCCACTAAACTTGGCTTTCTTAACAGGTTTTTCATGGGAGTGTGACATTACCAACATACTGGGAAAACACTCAGTGGGATATATTAGTCTGGATCACTGTCATAACTGGACCACCATGGCATTGTCATTATCATTTTTAGATTCTGTTGTTCAAATTGATTTTCTCCCTCTGTATATTTCCCAGCATGTATTAGTTGGTGATGTTTCATCCACCATGAAGCCTGCTAAGACAAACTTTCAGGGTAAGTAGGCCTTTTTTGCTGATTAAAACTGGATTTGCAGCATTTTAAAATTTTAATTGAAAATGGTCCTGTGGCCGCTCTAGCACTCAATTCCTCTTTACTGAATTTTTTGGAGATTTTCAGCATCTTATCTCAAAGCATTTTGATCTTTTTCAATGTTTTGCTTGAGACATGTTTTCTAAGTAGCCATACATCATATGTGAACAAATTGACTTATATAGTAAATAAATGATTTTTATTAATATTCAGAAAGGGAGCAAATAGATACCTAACTGTGAAGAAGAAAGATGGATCAGAAACAGCTCATGCAATGATGACCTGTAATTTGACTCATAATACAAAACATGCTATTAGGAGCCTAATTCAGAGATTTCCTGTCACCAATAAAGAGCGTACTGAACTTCTGCCTAAAACAGAAAGAGGAAATGTGTTTGCTGTTGAAGCTGGTATGTATTTTCTGGGGAGATTCCTTGTTTATCCTTTTATTGAATGACTATTCTTTTTCCACTTAACATTTAAAATTTTTTAACATTTTAAAACAACATTAAGTAAGATTTCTCACTGTGAATAAGTTTGTTTGAAATGATAAGAATTTGTAAAAATTTTTGTAATGAAATGCAGTGTTAAGGCATGTCATTAAGTTAGACAGGGTTTTTGTTTTTGTTTCTTTTTTTACATGTTATAGTAATAGCTAACCATTTATTGAGCACTTATTGTGTGCTGGACAGCATTGTAAACTTGATATAGAGCCTCATGGCAACCCTTCCAAGGTAAGAATTTCCCCTATTTCACAGGTGAAGAAACTGGGCTCAGAGAAGATTAAAGATTTGTTCAAGGCCGCTCAGTCAGCTAGTAAACTGCAGAGCTGGGGTTTGACTCCAAGGTCTGGACTTGGACTATTATATATTATGCTGCCATGATACACTATGAGTGGAATTTTGAATTAGGGCTTCAGCTTTTGCGAAGAGATAGGACAGAGTCTTCAGTATATTAACTTGCTCAGAAGTAGATAAATATATATATTTAGATTATAAAGTGAAGTTGTAATTTTACTGTTTGGAAAAATAATTTTCCTAATGAGAAGTTTATTTCTTTTATTATCTCCAGTGACAGAGTTTCTGTTGGTGAAGTAGGTTTGCAGAATGTAGAAAATGCATGGTCCTAGCTATCAAGGAGCTTTATTAATAAAAATATTTTCACACAAAAATATTTTAAGTTATATGAAGAATATAAAACACATCATGCCTTTTTTATTCCTATCTGCTTAAATATAGATGTTGGCTAAAATGCACAATTAGGAGATTTGTTAAGCATTAAAGCCTTAAGTTTACACGTTACTCTGTTTGATCACATAATCTTACATGCTGACTTCAAGAGGGGTTTTTTCTTTTTCATATGTGTTTTTATACTGCATGTAATAGGCTTTACAAGTATAATGTATATTGTTTCCTACTCTAAAATTTTGTTCTAATTGATAGAAACAAGTTTGAGAATCATTTTAGGATATCAAAATTGGATTTTATTTTTAATGATTTTTGTTCATTTTAAAACATTATACACTAGGAATACTTCCGAGAAGTTTGCCATCTAATTGATATCAAAACGTGTAAAGTGTTCTCTAAGAATACTGTGTAGGAATTAAGCAGCTGAGGTACTGCTTGCTAATTTTATGTTGACTGAGTAGAGAAGAAGCACTTAGAAGGTATTAATTACTTACTTATGTTTTTAACTGTGTTGTTGATCATAATTTTTTTTTTTGTTCTCTGATTCATTTTCAAAGAAAATCGGGAAATGAGCAAGACAAGTGGGCGACTCAACAATGGCATACCTCAGATTCCAGTAAAAAGAGGAGAATCTGAATTTGATTCTTTCAGACAATCTCTGCCAGTGTTTGAAAAACAAGAGGAAATTGTTAAAATAATTAAGGAAAATAAAGTAGTTTTGATTGTTGGAGAAACTGGATCTGGAAAGACTACACAGGTGTGTGTCTACTTTGTTGTTTATAGAAAAAAAATATTTTACTTCATGTGATAGTTTTGCATCAAATTTATACTACATATACAAAGTAAACATAATTACAGTTTTTAAACTACTAGTTTGGCTGAAATTTAAAAATTCATGAAATCCAGCATTTGCATAGGTATTGAGAAAACAGCATCTTCTGCTCTTTTGATAAAAGTATAAATTGTTTGAAGGGCTGATTGATCATTTTTTTGAAAATTAAATTTATATACTCTTTGACTCAGCATATATTTGTCTTTGCAAAAGTATTTGAGGATAGATGCTCAGTACAGTGTTCTTTTATAGCAAGCAACAACATCAATAATAACAAACCTAAAAAAGCTGGACACTATATGTAATCATATTTGTTAAATTATAGCACATCCACTAGATGGAATGTGCAGCTGTTAAAATGGATTAGGTAGATCTGATATGTTGTTAAGTGACATCAGCAGATTACAAACATTAAGTATAATAATGACTTCGTGGGAATAAAAGCCTGTTTATATACGCAAATATTTTAAGTTGTATAAACATATTTTCCCCTCAAAAGAGTTTATGAGAAACTTACCAGTAGTTACTTTTGTGGAGAGGACTGTTGGTAATGGTAGGGGTTGGTAAGACTTTTACCTTATGTTCTAAATCTTTTTGACCTGTTTGAACTTAATTATATAAGAGTGTTTGCAGTCCTTCTATTAGGCTATTTCTGATTTCTTTATACTTTTCACTATTTAAAAGAGTCCAGCAGAGTTTTATTTCATTGACTTTATAGGATATTTTGGAGATAATTGATATTTTTGCAATATTGATTATTCCTGCCCAGGAATATGTCATATTTTTTTAGAATGTTCCCATCCTTTATGTTTTTTAGTAGTGTTTTATAATCTTTTTCATGTAAACCTTAACTGTCTCTTTATACTTTTGTTTTTAAGTGTTTTAGTTTCTATTGTGAACAAAATCTTTTTAAATTATGTTTTTTAGCTGATTATTAGCAGTTAACATGAAAGGGTTTTTTTTTTTATGTTTGGACATGTTACATAACTTTTTTAGTTCTAATGATTTTTCAGTTGACATAGATTTTCTGGATATACAGTTATGCCATCTTAATAGTACTTTAAAATTTGTTTCAGATTCCTCAGTTCCTTTTAGATGATTGCTTTAAAAATGGTATTCCCTGCCGTATATTTTGTACTCAACCAAGACGATTAGCAGCTATTGCTGTGGCTGAAAGAGTTGCTGCAGAGAGGAGAGAAAGGATTGGTCAAACAATTGGGTATCAGATTCGTTTAGAAAGCAGGTAAAGACAATTCACCTGTAACCTTTTATCATTCTTAGAAAAGACTAAATATTTGTATTTCACTAAACATAGAGAATGTGTTAGTTGAAAAATGAGGTGGTCATTTTGCTTCAAGTAAGTTTGTGAACAGAACATTGAGGTCATGTCTAAACTTATTGAGGTTTTGAATAAATAAATAGTTTGAAAAGAAATTCTGTTTCATAGTTTCATGATAAAGTGCAAGACCTCTTTGAGTCTTAGTTTCCTCATCTGTAGTATTCGGTTAATAAAAGCATCTAGAGCACAGGTTTGATGTGAAGTTTACAGTAAGCACTCAGTAAGTGTTAGTGACTGAATTCATTATTATTATTGTTATTGATATTAGTAGTACTTAGTAGTGCCTTCTTGACAGGTAGTACCATTTCTTTGCTCATAGTTATTTGGGTATAATGATTCAAAAAGCTGATCTCATTTATGATATACTGTTTTACTCAAGTTAAAAATGTTTGGGATCTTAAAAACAATCTCTTTGTACTCTTTAACAAAATAATTAATTAATAAAAGGCTATTAGTAATAATAAATTTGTGATATTATCAAACATAAAATATGTATTTCATATAACTTTGCTAATAAAGCATGTATACCAGTACACTAAATGTATATGTATACCAATACACTACATGTATACCAGCGAACTAAAATGGACTGGAATGGGTGAATTGAACTCAGATGACCATTATATCTACTTCTGTGGGCAAGAATCCCTTAAAAGAAATAGAGTAGCCATCATAGTCAACAAAAGAGTCCAAAATGCAGAACTTGGATGCAGTCTCAAAAATGACAGAATGATCTATGTTCATTTCCAAGGCATACCACAGAATTGCACTCATCTCACACTCTAGTAAAGTAATGCTCCAAATTCTCCAAGCCAGGCTTCAGCAATATCTGAATTGTGAACTTCCAGATGTTCAAGCTGGTTTTAGAAAAGGCAGAGGCACCAGAGATCAAATTGCCAATATCCGCTGGATCATCGAAAAAGCAAGAGAATTCCAGGAAATCCTGTTTCTGCTTTATTGACTATGCCAAAGCCTTTCACTGTGTAGATCACAATAAACTGGAAAATTCTTAAAGAGATGGGAATACCAGACCACCTGACCTGCCTCTTGAGAAATCTGTATGTAGGCCAGGAAGCAACAGTTAGAACTGGACATGGACAGCAGACTGGTTCCAAACAGGAAAAGGAGTACGTCAATGTTGTATATTATCACCCTGCTTATTTATCTTATATGCAGAGTTCATCATGAGAAACGCTGGGCTGGATGAAGCACAAGCTGGAATCAAGATTGCTGGGAGAAATAGCAATAACCTCAGATATGCAGATGACACCACCCTATGGCAGAAAGTGAAGAAGAACTAAAAAGCCTCTTGATGAAAGTGAAAGAGGAGAGTGAAAAAGTTGGCTTAAAGCTCAACATTCAGAAAACTAAGATCACCACGTCCTGTCTGATCTCTTGGCAAATAGATAGGGAAAGAGTGGAAACAGTGGCTGACTTTATTTTTGGGGACTCCAAAATCACTGTAGATGGTGTGACTGCAGCCATGAAGTTAAAAGACACTCTTTGGAAGGAAAGTTATGACCAACCTAGAGTAGTCCAGTGGCTAATACTCAGTGCTCCTAATGCAGCGGGCTTGGGTTTGATCTCTGGTTGCGGAACTAGATCCTGCATGCCAAAACTAAGACAAGCCAAATAAATGGGCCTACAAGACCTTCTAGAACTAACACCCAAAAAAGATGTCCTTTTCATTATGGGGGCTGGAATGCAAAAGCAGGAAGTCAAGAAACACCTGGAGCATCAGACAGATTTGGCCTTGGAGTGTTGTCTTCCAACAACACAAGAGAAGACTCTACACATGGACATCACCAGACGGTCAACACCGAAATCAGATTGATTATATTCTTTGCAGTCAAAGATGGAGAAGCTCTGTACAGTCAGCAAAAATAAGACCGGGAACTGATTGTGGTTTAGATCATGAACTCCTTATTGCCAAATTCAGACTTAAATTGAAGAAAGTAGGGAAGACCACTAGACCATTCAGGTATGGTCTAAATCAAATCCCTTATGACTATACAGTGGAAGTGAGAAATAGATTTAAGGGACTAGATCTGATATATAGAGTTCCTGGTTAACTATGGACAGAGGTTCATGACATTGTACAGGAGACAGGGATCAAGACCATCCCCATGGAAAAGAAATGCAAAAAGGCACAGTGGTTGTCTGAGGAGGCCTTACAAATAACTGTGAAAAGAAGAGAAGCGAAAAGCAAAGGAGAAAAGGAAAGATATACCCATTTGAATGCAGAGTTCCGAAGAATAGCCAGGAGAGATAAGAAAGCCTTCCTCAGCAATCAGTGCAAAGAAATAGAGGAAAACAACAGAATGGGAAAGACTAGAGATCTCTTCAAGAAAATTAGAGATACCAAGGAAACATTTCATGCAAAGATGTGTTTGATAAAGGACAGAAATGGTATGGACCTAACAGAAGCAGAAGATATTAAGAAGAGGTGGCAAGAATACACAGAAGAACTGTACAAAAAAGATCTTCATGATCCAGATAATCATGATGGTGTTATCACTGACCTAGAGCCAGACATCCTGGAATGTGAAATCAAGTGGGCCTTAGAAAGCATCACTATAAACAAAGCTAGCGGAGGCGATGGAACTCCAGTTGAGCTATTTCAAATCCTGAAAGATGATGCTGTGAAAGTGATGCACTCAATATGCCAGCAGATTTGGAAAACTCAGCAGTGGCCACAGGACTGGAAGAGTCAGTTTTCATTCCAATCCCAAAGAAAGGCAATCCTAAAGAATGCTCAAACTACCGCACAATTGTACTCCTCTCACATGTTAGTAAAGTAATGCTCCAAATTCTGCAAGCCAGGCTTCAGCAGTACTTGAACTGTGAACTTCCAGATGTTCAAGCTGGATTTAGAAAAGGCAGAGGCACCAGAGATCATATTGCCAACATCTGCTGGATCATTGAAAAAGCAAGAGAGTTCCAGAAAAACATCTCTTTCTGCTTTATTGACTATGCCAAAGCCTTTCACTGTGTGGATCACAATAAACTGTGGAGAATTCTTAAAGAGATGGGAATACCAGACCACCTGACCTGCCTCTTGAGAAACCTATATGCAGGTCAGGAAGCAACAGTTAGAACTGGATGTGGAACAGCAGACTGGTTCCAAATAGGCAAAGGAGTATGTCAAGGCTGTATATTGTCAGCCTGCTTATTTAACTTATATGAAGAGTACATCATGAGAAACGCTGAGCTGGAAGAAGCACAAGCTGGAATCAAGATTGCCGGGAGAAATATCAATAACCTCAGATATGCAGATGACACCACCCTTATGGCAAAAAGTGAAGAGGAACTAAAAAGCCTCTTGATGAAAGTGAAAGAGGAGAGTGAAAAAGTTGGCTTAAAGCTCAACATTCAGAAAACTAAGATCATGCCATCTGGTCCCATCACTTCATGGGAAATAGATGTGGAAACAGTGTCAGACTTTTATTTTTTTGGGCTCCAAAATCACTGCAGATGGTGATTGCAGCCATGAAATTAAAAGACACTTACTCCTTGGAAGGAAAGTTATGACCAACCTAGATAGCATATTAAAAAGCAGAGGCATTACTTTGCCAACAAAGGTCCATCTAGTCAAGGCTATGGTTTTTCCAGTGGTCATGTATACTTTTGAACTGTGGTGTTGGAGAAGACCCTTGAGAGTCCCTTGGACTGTGAGGAGATCCAACCAGTCCATCCTAAAGGAGATTAGCCCTGGGTGTTCATTGGAAGGACTGATGCTGAAGCTGAAACTCCAGTACTGTGGCCACCTCATGTGAGGAGTTAACTCATTGGAAAAGACCCTGATGCTGGGACGAACTGGGGGCAGGAAGAGAAGGGGACAACAGAGGATGAGATGGCTGGATGGCATCACCGACTTGATACATGAGTTTGAGTAAACTCCGGGAGTTGGCGATGGACAGGGAGGCCTGGTGTGCTGCGATTCATGGGGTCGCAAAGAGTCAGACACGACTGAGCAACTGAATTGAACTGCACTGAGAAAGCATGTTAAAAAGCAGAGACATTACTTTGCCATCAAAGGTCCATCTGGTCAAGGCTATGGTTTCCAGTAGTCATTTATTGATGTGAGAGTTGGACCATAAGAGAGCTGAGTGCGGAAGAATTGATGCCTTTGAGCTGTGGTGTTGGAGAAGACCCTTGAGAGTCCCTTGGATTGCAAGGAGATCCAACTAGTCCATCAAGGAAGTCAGTCCTGAGTATTCTTTGGAAGGACTGATGTTGAGGCCAAAACTCTTTTTTCCACCTGATGTAAAGAACTGACTCATTTGAAAAGACCCTGATGCTAGGAAAGATTGAGGGCAGGAGGAATAGGGGATGACAAAAGGTTAGATGGTTGGATGGCATTACTGACTCAATGGAGATGAGTTTGAGTAAACTCTGGGAGTTGGTGATGGACAGGGAGTCCTGGCATGCTGGAGTTCATGGCGTTGTGAAGAGTCAGACATGTCTGAGTGACTGAACTGAACTGAACTGAACCAGTACACTGTTATTTTAGTAATACTTACTAAAATACTAAGATACTAGCATTTTAATATGGCCATGATTTAATTGCAAAACAGATTTGTAATTATACTTTTTTTTTTTTAAAGGGTTTCTCCAAAGACACTTCTGACATTTTGCACCAATGGGGTACTGCTTCGTACACTGATGGCAGGAGATAGTACATTGTCAACTGTGACACATGTCATTGTGGTAAGAATAATTAAATTTAAATAGCTAATTAAGATTTTAGAATATGATATAAGTGAGCACCAATTTTTTTTTAAAACAAGCTGTTCTAATCAAGTTACTTTTTATTTTCCATAATTATTAGAAATAAATATTTATATTAAGTAAAGATATTCTTGCCATCAGTTTTCATGAGTGAAAATAGATAGCTTTGTAAAAAGTGCTTTTTATATGTGAAAATGATACATGTATTTCAAGAGTCTCCAGAATAGAGAAAGTTTTCTTTTTTCTCTGTGCTTAGTCATCTATTTTCTCTTCCATATCTTAGGAGAATACTTAAAGTCAGTTAAATTACTGGTTAAGCTGCTAAATTAACTAGCTGCTGATGAAATAAGTAGATGAATTAGCACCTTATTAAAGAATTCTAAGCTTTTATCCAGTTTGTGTCAGAAAACTTAGATTAAATTCTATAAGCTTTTGATAAGCAGCTTTTGGAGTTATTAGTTCTCTGCATTCAAACTACAATATGCACCTGGTCCTGATGCTAACAAGCATATTTAAATAGATTTTATATTTATTAAAAGTACATTAAATTAGACTGTACTAATTCAGAATTTTAGTTTCTGCAGTTTTACATTCTGTGGGAAAAAGGGCAATACGTTACCCACAGAAGATTGTTAATATCTGAGTAGTTCTAAATTGTCTGTATAACAAAATTTTCACTAATTGACTGTGTCCACATTTTAATTTGATTTAGTGTGAAACTCAGCAGCTCCATAGTTTTAAAGACTTCACTTATTTTACGTTTTAACTGTTCCATGGTTTGTTTTTGTTTACTGCAGGATGAAGTACATGAAAGGGATCGATTTAGTGATTTTTTACTTACAAAGTTAAGAGATTTACTGCAGAAGCACCCAACTTTGAAACTAATTCTTTCTAGTGCTGCCTTAGATGTAAATCTGTTTATTAGATATTTTGGGAGCTGTCCAGTGATATATAGTAAGTAAAATTATCAGATTTCTTCTAGGATTTTACAAAAGAATTCTTTTCTGGCTTGATTTTATTTATTGAAATAGAAACATTAAGGAATATTCTGATGTATAGGGCATCCTTTTCTTTTTTTTCTGAGATGAGCTTAATCAGTCATCTCTATATATTTTCATCCTCTCCTTTTTCACTTTTTGGTATTGTGCAGTGAGCCGGTTTTCTAGTCTTAAAAGGAGGTATGTTTTAAGTTGGTGTTCCTCTTTAAACTCTGTCTTACAGCTTCACCTTTGTTGCTGGACTCTCTCACAGAGTAGTCATAGTCCCATGCTTAGCTCCCATGTATTTCTGAATATGTTGCCACTGAACTTTGGTCCTTGTCCTTTAATAATACCTGATTTTTCCACCAATCTTTAACAGAATGATTAATTTTCTTCTCAAAAATTGAAGAAGTTGTGTTTACCTCAGTTCAAACATGTACGATGTAGTTTATTATATTGAACAGCTACTTTTATATTTCCTAATATGAATGTACCATGATTTATTTAACCATTTCTTAATTTTTAGACATTCACATTGGTCCTGGATCCTTCCTTTTGCCAACTATAAACCTTGTTGTTATGAGCATCCTTATACATATATTCTTATATATGTATATATAGCTGCTCTTATTTCTGAGACTAGATTCTTAAAAGTGAAATTGTTGAGTAAAAAAGTATGTCTGTTTTTAATTTTAACAATAGTATGGTTTTGCCATTTTACTTTTCCAAAAGGCTGAAATGATTCACATTTCTGCAGCTTATGGGGCTATTCATTTATGCATTCTTAACAGTATTGTTTTGAAACTGATTTAATTGCCAAGCCTATTATTCAAATTTTATATAAAAATCTTACTTAAAGTTGCTGTAGTATTTCTTGTAATCATTCCCCCTTTTTTGTGAAATGCTCATATTCCCATCATCTCTTTGCCAGCACTGCTTCCTGAGTCTCATTCTGTATTACAGCCTATACTTTCTTGGTCTCCTCTGTGGGCTTCTTTTGCATGGTGCTTAAATATTGGTATTTTTGAGGATTATTCCCATAATCTGTTCTTTTTTTCTCTTCCTCTCTTCTTTACCCTCCCCTTCCCCTCCTTTCCCTTCCTTTTTTGACTTCTTTGCTTTTTCTCTTTCCTGCTCTATGCTGCTCTCAACTTGATACTGGGAATGCATACTTTGTTTCCCTGGAAGATCTCATTCTTACCCTTGACTTCTACTTCCTCTTTTATGGATGACTCCTGAATCTTTATTTCCCAATTCAACCTGTTCTCCAGAGCTTTGGACTTAGGAAGTTTATAAGCAGTTCACATCTAATATGCGCTAACTGAATACTAATCCTTTCTAAAAAATATACAAGCAACTCCTGCAGCTCAATTCCAGAAAAATAAATGACCCAATCAAAAAATGGGCCAAAGAACTAAACAGTTCTCCAAAGAAGACATATAGATGGCTAACAAACATATGAAAAGATGCTCAACATCACTCATTAGCAGATAAATGCAAATCAAAACCACAATGAGGTACCATCTCACGCCAGTCAGAATGGCTGCTATCCAAAAGTCTGTAAGCAATAAATGCTGGAGAGAGTGTGGCGAAAAGAGAACCCTCTTACACTGTTGGTGGGAATGCAAACTAATACAGCCACTATGGAGAACAGTGTGGAGATTCCTTAAAAAACTGGAAATAGAACTGCCATATGACCCAGCAATCCCACTGCTGGGCATACACACCGAAGAAACCAGAATTGAAAGAGACATGTGTACCCCAATGTTCATTGCAGCACTGTTTATAATAGCCAGGACATGGAAGCAACCTAGATGTCCATCGGCAGATGAATGGCTAAGAAAGCCGTGGTACATATACACCGTGGAATATTACTCAGCCGTTAAAAAGAATGTGTTTGGTGCTCGCTTCGGCAGCGCATATACTAAAAAGAATGCACTTGAACCAGTTCTGATGAGATGGATGAAACTGGAGCCTATTATACAGAGTGAAGTAAGCCAGAAAGAAAAACACCAATACAGTATACTAACACATATATGGAATTTAGAAAGATGGTAATGATAACCCTATATGTGAGACAGCAAAAGAGACACAGATGTATAGAACAGTCTTTTGGACTCTTTGGGAGAAGGCGAGGGTGGGATGATCTGAAAGAGTAGCATTGAAACATGTATATTATCATATGTGAAATACATTGCCAGTCCAGGTTCGATGCATGAGACAGGGTGCTCTGGGCTGGTGCCCTGGGATGACCCAGGGGGATGGGATGGGGAGGGAGGTGGGAGGGGAGTTCCGGATGGGGAACACATGTAAACCCATGGCTGATTCATATCAATGTATGGCAAAAACCACTACAGTATTGTAAAGTAATTAACCTCCAACTAAAATAAATAAATTAAAAAAAAAATAAAAGAGGAATATATAAAATAAATAAAAAATCTGCTTCTTTTGTGTTGCCTGTTTTAGTTAATCATACCATTGACCAAATCACCTAAGTCACAACCTATAGGACTTTTTGTTCATAAGACCAACCTAGACAGCATATTAAAAAGCAGAGACATTACTTTGCCAACAAAGGTCTGCCTAGTCAAGGCTATGGTTTTTCTAGTAGTCATGTATGGATGTGAGAGTTGGACCATAATGAAAGCTGAGCACTGAAGAAGACTCTTGAGAGTCCCTTGGACCGCAAGGAGATCCAACCAGTCAGTCCTAAAGGAAATCGGCCCTGAATGTTCATTGGAAGCTGTAGCTCCCATACTTTTGCCACCTGATGTGAAGAATTGACTCTTTGGAAAAGACCCTGATGCTGGGAAAGATTAGAGGCAGGAGGAGAAGGGGACGACAGAGGATGAGATGGTTGGATGGCATCACTGATTTGATGGACATGAGTTTGAGCAAGCTCCGGGAGCTGGTAATGGAGAGGGAAGCATGGCGTACTGCGATTCATGGGTTCGCAAAGAGTTAGACATGACTGAGCGACTGAACTGAACTGAAGGCACATAAAATTTATGCGTCTGCTAATGGAAGCTCATTTTGGCAACTAACATTTGACATGTATAAAACCAAACCCCAACTCCCATAAGCCAACTTGTTTTTCTTTAGCTTTCCTTGTCAACCTCAGAGAATGACATCTTCCTCTATCCAGTTTTTTAAGCTAGACTTGTAAGAGCTGTGGTTGATACTTCCTTGTCATTCCTCCATATTTAATCTAATAGTTCTGTGGATTTTCCTTCCTGTCTATCTAGAGTCTGTCTGTCTGCTTCCATTTTTACTGTCACCAGTCGTATTCAGGTTATTGTCCTCTTCAGCTTGAAGAATTGTAATTGCCCCTGCCTAGTCTGTTCCATCTACTCTGCTCTGTTTTAAACCCATTCCCCAGGTGTCAGCCAGAGTGTTTTCTGAAGTGGAATTTTGATGATTTAAACACTCTCATGAGCTTAAAACTTTGAATGACCTTTACCTCAGAATAAAGACCTAAACCCTTAATAAGAGCTGTTTCTTCAGCCTTATCTTGAACTATAGCCCCCCTCTCCACATCACTTCTCACATCATGTTCCAAATAGCTTGGCTTTTTAGTTCCTTGAGAAAACCATACTCTTTCCCACCATAGGACCTTTGTGCATACTGTTTTTTTTTTCTTCTTCTTCTTCATATTATACTCTTTCCTCTTTGTGTAGCTTAGTTATTTTGTTCTCTTCTCCTTCTCTTGGTTCTCATTTTTCTCAGTGAAGATGTTTTTCTTGTCTTACTCAGGTTCTCCTATTATGTACTGTCATGGTATCTTGTACTTCTCTCTCGTAGGACTTCTCACAACTTTATTTTTACATTGTTGTTTTGAATTACTGGATTAAGGTCTGACTCTCCTGCTAGACTGCAGTCTTTAAGCTTCAGGAGAACAGGAGGAACTCTGTTTCTACTTGCCATTTATATTCCTAATACCTAGTATAATGCCAGACACACAAGTGAATAGCAAACACTGGAAAAAAACATGCAAATAAACAGTTGTCTATCAAAGTTATATTTAAAGGGCAATATGAGGATTACTTGATCTATGGAATTGCCTTTGGATTAATACTCAGATTTATTAATTTGAGAATCTCATGTTTTTATGCAAATTATCTCTGAGATGCAAGTTGACTGTTTAAAATACTCCTATTATTTAGTACAGGGAAGACCATTTGAAGTAAAAGAAATGTTTTTGGAAGACATTTTAAGAACTACTGGATATACAAACAAAGAAATGTTAAAATACAAAAAGGAAAAACAGCGAGGTAAGCTCTTTATCAAACAAATATAAAAGAAAATTACTATTGATACTGACATTTTAGAGTACTCCAGTCTTATAGTGTGCAGATACAAGGATACTTGAAAGTATTTCTCTCTGTGTATAGTTGTAGAATATTATATTAGACTACTGTCCCAAATGGACCTTTTATGTTGTGGTTTATGTCCACGAGTTATAATCTATGGAGCGGAATTGAAATGGAATGCCAGAGCTGGGTAGGCTGAGTGTCTGCATCCAAAGATTCAGCCACTGTTTTAAGGAGGGAGAAGATGATATGCTGGCTGTCCCCCAGCATATGTTACAGAGTGGGAGCGAGAGGCAGGTGAGGAAGTGCAAAGAGTTGTATGTGAGTGATGAAAGGCTCATCTTTGTTACAATTGTCAAGTTCTTCAACTCTTGATATTGTTATGAATTGCATCTGAATTTTGAATGTAGCATGACCTGCCTATTAATACATCTCTTATGATTTATGCTGTATGTCCACTTTTGAATTAAGGTTAAGTTCCTTCTGGTTACTTTTAACTACATTATTCATGATGGAAGACTTCAAGTTTTGATTCCTTTGTTTAGTTAGTATAACTTTGGACAAATAATCTTCTTTGGATTCTTTGCTTGAAAAAAGCAATTAGTAATGCCTGTTTCACAGTGCAATGTTGAATCACTAATATGTACATTATAAAATTTCTTGCTTTGATCATAACTTGTATCTCAGACAACTAGTATGGTGGTAGAAGTTCAGTAAATGATTTCCTTCAAAGTGCCATATGGATATTAGTCATTTGTTTAAACAATATTTGTTACATGGATAAAATACTGTTCATTAAATTATGTACTTATATAGAAGTAAACTTCTTACCAGTAGATGAACAGATGAAGTTTTTTAAAGCAGTTTCATGTCTCCTTTTGGTTCAGCATAACATGTTTTATTGAATGTTTCTAATTAATTAATTTTTTAAAGTAACTTTAAAATGAGACCAACTTTTAGGTATTTTCAAATTCACTTAATTTTTTTAAAGAAATGTGTTTCATAAAACAAAGAATGTGTCTACTTATTTTCTTTGGTAATTAATTTAGAGGAAAAACAACAAACCACACTTACAGAATGGTACTCAGCTCAAGAGAATACTTTCAAGCCTGAATCTCAGAGACAGAGAGCTATCCCAAATGTGACTGAAGAGTATGATTTATTGGATGATGGTGGTGACGCTGTCTTCAGTCAGCTGGTAAGACCTCTGTGGTTTTACACTGATAGTTTGAGAGAAAATTGTGTAAACAGTATTTTATGAGATTATAATTTTTATTCCATTATTAAAGCATAATTCCCTTACTTTATCTTAGACTACAACACATTTTTCAGAATAACTTTCTATAAACTCTTTTTTTCAATAACACGACATCTTTTATTGTTTCATTCTGAGTTAAAATTATTTCAATATTTTCTATAAATTGTTTCAAGAAAATAGTTGTAGTTATTATATATATATATTATTATTGCTTGATATTTTATCATGTCAAAAATTTAAGGACCTATGAGCTAAGCAATGTAAGATTAGCTAAGTTAGGAAAAAACTGAGAAAAGACTGTTGATATTAAGGCAAGTATAATCAAGACCAGTGTTTCTACCACAGAGCTGCTGCTGTTGCTCCTGCTAAGTTGCTTCAGTCGTGTCTGACTCTGTGCGACCCCATAGGTGGCAGCCCACCAGGCTCCCCCATCCATGGGTTTCTCCGGGCAAAAACACTGGAGTGGGTTGCCATTTCCTACTCCAGTGCATGAGAGTGAAAAGTGAAAGTGAAGTTGCTCAGTCATGTCCGACTCTTTTCGACCCCATGAACTGTAGCCTACCAGGCTCCTCCCTCCATGGGATTTTCCAGGCAAGAGTACTGGAGTGGGTTGCCATTGCCTTCTCCCCACCACAAAGCTATGTGACTGTAAAGTCAGTTACACATCATAGATCTCAGTTTCTTCTTCTTTTCTCCCTTTTATTTTGCCACAGAATCTTTCTACAAAATCTTTTTTGTAGACATCCTGCCAACTCATCCCTCACTCTCCACCTCTACCCCCTAGGTGGGGCTTCTGCTGCTTTGGGTTCCATGAAGTCTATTTGAAAACAAACTAATGAATTTCCTAGGTTCCTTCTGGTCTTTGATTGTGGTTTAGAATTCTTAAGGGCTTCCCTGGTGGCTCAGATGGTAAAGACTCTTCAGGCAGTGTGGGAGACCTGGGTTCAATCTCTGGGTTAGGAAGATCCCCTGGAGAAGGACATGACAACCCGCTTTAGTATTCTTGCCTGGAGAATCCCCATGGACAGAGGAGCCTCACAGGTTGCAAGAGTTGGACACAACTGAGCGACTTTCACTCAGAGTTCTTAAAAAGGCATTGGCAATTAGATTAATGGCTGGGACTGTGTATTTTTTAGAAAAGGAATTAAACTGTATTGAGCATGAGAATGCAAATATGCTTGGCAGTTTTCTCCCATTGTTTAAAGTTCTGATGTATCCAAATGAACTATTCTTGTAAAGAATGTATACTTTTAAAGAATGTTTAAAAATTGTTATTTAGTGTTGGGAACATCCATTTGGTTCAGTGAATAGCATTTTGATCCTGTAAGTTAGTGATTCTTAAGTCTGGCTACATATTAGCATCTCCCAAGGAACATTTAAAGTCCTGTGGAATCTGGCCTCCATCTGAAATTCTGATGTTCTTGCTCTGGGGTGGGACTTGGCTTCAGTGTTGACAAGCTCCAGGTGATATTTCCTCTGTGGTACAGTTGGGAGGGAAGACCACTGATCTGCAGGTATATTTAGCACATTGTGTCAGAAGCACAGTTAATATTGTGACTGGATCATACTGCTTTGTTGACAAACTCATTCTCAGATAAAAGATGAATGTGAAAACAAGATACAGTATTGGGAATGGTAATGTTTATGATGAAATGACAAACTTTTATGTCAAATCCTTTGATATAACACTGTATGGCTAATAGTTCTTACGGTCATTATGGCCATCTTGTGTTCTTTGCCAGCAAAGGTTAAGTAATTTATAATTTTTGCTTCTTTTTGAAGACAGAAAAAGATGTGAATTGCCTTGAACCATGGTTAATAAAGGAAATGGATGCTTGTCTTTCTGACATATGGCTGCATAAAGATGTTGATGCCTTTGCTCAGGTCTTTCACCTTATTTTAACTGAAAATGTTAGTGGTAAGTATAAATTATTTCAGTGTTTTAAATTACTCTTGCAGTTATTTATTATGATAGAGATATAGTTTAATTCATAAAATTCAAAATTCACTTTTTGTTCATGACCAATAATTTGTTCTTTTGGAGAACTTATTTCAAATATACAAGTAAGGATTTTTCTTATTAGCATAGTAGAATAGATATTGTACAATAGAATAGTATTGTATTAAATCAAGGATTCTTAGCGTAATGTCTCCAGAACAGGTTTATGGGGTCTGTAAATATATGATAATTATAAGTAAAAGTATTTTTATGTGTATAAGATTTGTGATATAAATATACTCACCCCCAAATCACCCCTCTTCCCCCTTGAAAATCCAAATATCTTGGATTTTCAAAGAGATTTATGATTTCAAAACATGGAAAAATATTACTATCTTTTGCTCTGGATTATTCCTTCAGTAAGTGAAAAATTTTAGTATACCTTTAGTTATTTAGGCTCAAGTTCTGAATCACATGTACCTGCATTATATCATGTGACATATATTCACTAATGATTTATTCTGATTTCATTAGTTGAATATAATGGATATTAATAATCAGAGGTGAGTTTTAGAACCCTAAAGGCTTTTAGACAAAAGGTAGAATGATGGTAATGGAAGGTCAGTACTGAAAGGGACTTAGGTGTCAAATAGTTTATCCCCTCACTTGAACTTCTCAGCATTATTATAATTGACCACTCCCTTCTTGAAACATGTTCTTCAGTTTACTTCTGATAGTCCGTACTTGATTTATTTTCTTCTCATCTCCCTGACTGGTAGGTCTTGGTTTCCTTGGCAGGATTTTTTTCTTTTTCTTGACCTCCAAATATGGAATGTCCCGGCCCTCAATCCTTAAACTTTACTTCTCTTTACACTTACTCCTAAGTTGAATCTCATCTCGTCATAACTTTAAATATTTATTTAAAATGACTCCTGACTTTATGTCGTCTCTAATCCTGACCTCCCCTCTCATTTCCATATACCTCACTACTTGACATTTCCAGTTGGAAGTCTGTAAGGGGAATAAAGCTAGATTTACACCAAACAACTTGATTTTCTATCTCCTAATCTCTCTCTCATCCTGCTATTTTGTGAATGTTCCTCTAGTGATCATTATCAGTTTCAGACCCCATTAAAAATGCAAGTGCCTGGCCATCCCAGGCACACTGAATCTAACCTTACTGTACTACCATTCACCTAGTTGCTAAGGTAACAAAATATAAAATCATCCTTGACTTTGCTCTCATACCTCACGTGTAATCCATTAGCAGATCTTGTTAGTTTTACCTTATAAATAAATCCTGAATCTCAGCATATTTTACTGCCTATACTGCTGCCATCCTAGCCCAAGCCAACGTTTTTTTCCTGGACTGTTACACTGACCTGTTAACAATTTCTGTTCTTAGGTTACTTATAGTCTCTTCTCCAGAGAACAACTGGATTGATCCTTTCGAAAAGGAAATTGGATCATGCCACTTCTCTTCTCTCACCTCTCCGATGGCTTTCACTTACACTTTGAATAAAAGTCAAAGTCTTTTCCCCTGATTTAGTCTCTGATAGTCTTTTTAAATCCCATTTTCTACTGTTTGCCTTGTTCACTGTAATTTAGCCACTCTTATCTTCTTGCTCTTCATATATGCTGTCTCATTCTCATCTTTGGGCCTTTGCTTTTATTGTTTTTTTATGCTTGAAATGGTCTAATATGGTCTAATATGGTCCATTGCCTGCTTCATTTAGGTTTCTATCCATAAGTTAGGAAATTTGAACTCTGAGACACATTGCTTTAAAACATTTATGAAACATTTTAAAGTATTTTTGTATTATCTTTGACCCTCTTCTTAGATATTTCTTTTGTGACTACTAGACTATTACTTTGATAATGGTCATCTCTCCTTTATAGTTTTATTGGACATTTTCCAGAGCCCAGTATTCTAATGTCTTAAGCCGCGTGTAGTGAACTAAAATAAACGTTAGCATATCTCTATGAACAGTAATTTACTTTCCATATTTTTATTTCTCTTCTAAAATCTCAATGCTTAATTTTAAGGTAACAGAAGTTGAAAATACTTCATGTGATCCAGGAAACCTTTGGCTTCATAGATTTCTTTTTAACTGTGTCAATTTTCCTGTGTGATCTTGTGTAGCCAGGTAGTAATTAGCTGGTTTAGTAGGACTAGGCATTCCGTGGAATGCTGGATGCTAGTCATCTTTTGCTGTGTAAGAAATGATTCCCAAACTTAGAAACCTAAGACATTTATTATTTTACATAGTTATTGAGAGTCAAGAATGTGGGAGTGCTTTAACTGAGTGGTTCTGGCTCCTAGTCACTTGTAGACTGATAGTTAAGCTGTTGGCAGGGGTTGCAGTCATCTGAAAGTTTACTGAGACTGAGGATCTGCTTCTAAGATGGCTCACTCTTGTGGCTGTTCGTCAGAGAACTCAGTTTGTCTCTGCTATTAGCAGAAGGCCTCTGTTCTTTGCCATCTGGACTGTCCATAGGATTGCCTTGTTCTTCTCAGAAAGTGACAGCTGGCTTCTTCCAGAGTGTATGATTCAAAAGGGAAAAAGGAAAAGCAAGCAGGAAACTGTAGGTACCTTTCATGTCCTAGTCTCCAAAGTTGCACACCATTTTTTCCACTTTATTCTATTTGCTAGAATCAGTCACTTAGTCCAGCTCACACTCAAGGAGAGGGGAATTAGGCTCCACCCCTTGAAGGAAAAAGTATTAGTGAATTTTTGGTTGTTTTCAAACTCCCACGCTTATCTGTACCCCTAATTGAATTGAATTACTACATTGAAGTAGTAATTCTCATGTAGTGAACGTAAATCATAATCTTTGCAGATCTTTTTAATAATGCATGTGCTTTCCCACCCCAGACTACTGAATCTGAATCTAGAAGTAAGGCATAGCTTCAGAAATAAGGCAGTAAGGCAGTGCTTTCAGAAATAAAAAGCCTGAGGTAATTCTCTTATAAGTCCCCCTGTCTACCTTAAGAACCATTGGTTTATATTAATATTTGATACCATGTTTTAGAGGGTTGTTAACCTGTTTTACTATAGAGGGTTTTTCTCAGTAGTGATTTCTTTCTGAAATTACCAATTTTGTACTTTATGAACATTAGTTCTAAGTAATTATATCACATTGCTTGAAATATATTTTAAGATGGAATTTAAATTCAATAAAAGTTTTTTTTTTTCTCATGGAGGGGTGTTATGGGAAGTAAACTTTCTGCCAGTGTTACTCTCTTTAAGCATCTTATAAGACGACCCTGGATTGATGGGGGAATAAAAGCAAAATAAAAGGATGTCAAAAAATCATTTTAAATTTCTCATTTGTCCTTTTAAGCCTTCACTACTAGATTCTGATGACAATTAACTTTTAAATTATATCTTGTCATTTGATTAAGGCAGAATCTAGCTTTAAGAAGGTTACTTAATAGTTCAACAAGTTAGTAGCTTTCCTTTCTGTTTTGATTAACACTATCTTTCCTCCTCCTGCCTTCCAACTTGTGATACTTACTTTATCCTGCTTATACTAATGACACATCAGTATCAGATCTTGGATGATCTGAGTTAAGGGTTATACAGTGCTGTTATATATTTCGGTAAATGACCATGTCTAGGTTAATTCTCTTAACATTCAAGTAAATTAAAATGTATTTAAATAATTTGAACATTTAACATTTACATATCTTTTCTTTCTTTTAGTTGATTATAGACATAGTGAAACCAGTGCAACAGCTCTGATGGTTGCTGCAGGACGAGGTTTCTCAAGTCAAGTAGAACAGTTAATTAGCATGGGAGCCAATGTTCACAGTAAAGCATCAAATGGCTGGTAATTTTTAATTGCATCCATCCTTTGTATACCTTTGTACAGCTACATATATCTTTTTTGATTTCTTATATTTGCCTTTATATTAAAAGCTATTGTGAGGGGACTTCCCTGGTGGTCTAGTGGTTAAGACTCTGAGCTTCCACTACAGGGGACATGGGTTTAATACCTGGTTGGCAACTAAGATCCCGCAGACCATGCAGCACAGCCAGTAAATAAATAAAGTTGCTTAAGAAAATAAAAAAGAAAAACTTAAAAAAAAATGAAAGCTGTTGTGTAAAATTGCTCATACATCTCTAATTGATGAATAAAGAACTTTGAGTAACTAGTTTCCTAATTTTGAGAACATTATTTCTCTTTTTTAATTTGATACCTTTGAATTTTGTCAGGATGGCTTTAGATTGGGCTAAACACTTTGGTCAGACTGAAATTGTGGATCTTCTAGAATCTTACAGGTAAAACTTTTTGCTATTTTTAATTCAAACTCCTTTTGAAAAAGATTAGCCATATAAATCATAGAATGTGACCTATAAAAGCTATTTATAGTATCTTATACAGGTATATATATATTTTTGTAGTTCTGAGTACATTTTCTAATAATAGTTTTCAGTTACTTTGTAGGTTGCTAATAAGATATCTAAGGCAAACCATTCAATATCACAGTAATCCAAGTCTATGCCCCAACCAGTAATGCTGAAGAAACTGAAGTTGAATGGTTCTATGAAGATCTACAAGGTCTTCTAGAACTAACACCCAAAAAAGATGTCCTTTTCATTATAGGGGACTGGAATTCAAAAGTAGGAAGCCAAGAGATACCTGGAGTAACAGGCATATTTGGCCTTGGAGTACAGAATAAAGCAAGGCAGAGGCTAATAGAGTTTTGCCAAGAGAACACACTGGTCATAGCAAACACCCTCTTCCAACAACACAAGAGAAGACTCTACACATGGACATCACCAGCTGGTCAACACCAAAGTCAGATTGATTATATTCTTTGCAGCCAAATGTGGAGAAGCTCTATACAGTCAGCAAAACAAGACCTGGAGCTGACTGTGGCTCAGATCATGAACTCCTTATTGCCAAATTCAGACTTAAATTGAAGAAAGTAAGGAAAACCTCTAGACCATTCAGGTATGACCTAAATCAAATCCCTTATGATTATACAGTGGAAGTGACAAATAGAGTCAGGGGATTAGATGATAGACTACCTGAAGAACTATAGACAGAGGTTTGTGACATTGTACAGGAGGCAGTAACAAGACCATCCCCAAGGAAAAGAAATGCAAAAAGGTAAAATTGTTGTCTGAGGAGGCCTTCCAAATAACTAAGCAAAGAAGAGAAACTAAAGCAAAGGAGAAAAGGAAAGATACAAGCATCTGAATGCAGAGTTCCAAAGAATAGCAAGGAGAGATAAGAAAGCCTTCCTCGGTGATCAATGCAATCAAATAGAGGAAAACAATAAAATGGGAAAGACTAGAGATCTCTTAAAGATAATTAGAGATACCAAGAGAATATTTCATGCAAAGATGGGCTCAATGAAGTAAAGAAATGGTATGGACCTAACAGAAGTAGAAGATACTAAGAAGAGGTGGCAAGAATACACAGAAAAAGTGTACAAAAAAGATCTTCATGACCCAGATAATCATGATGGTGTGAGCACTCACCTAGAGCCAGACATCCTGGAATGTGAAGTCAAGTGGGCCTTAGGAAATATCCCTACGAACAAAGCTAGTGGAGGTGATGAATTCCAGTTGAGCTATTTCAAATCCTAAAAGATGATGCTGTGAAAGTGCTGCACTCAGTATGCCAGCACATTTGGAAAACTCAACAGCTGCCACAGGTTGAAAAGGTCAATTTTCATTCCAATCCCTAAGAAAGGCAATGCCAAAGAATGCTCAAACTACCACACAACTGCACTCACCTCACACGCTGGTAAAGTAATGCTCAAAATTCTCCAAGCCATGCTTCAGCAGTATGTGAACCGTGAACTTCCAGATGTTCAAGCTCATTTTAGAAGAGGCAGAGGAACCAGAGATCAAATTGCAAACATCTGTTAGATCATCAGAGGAGCAAGAGAGTTCCAGAAAAAACATCTATTTCTGCCTTATTGACTGTGCCAAACACTTTGACCGTGTGGATCACCACAACCTGTGGAAAATTCTTAAAAAGATGAGAATGCCAGAACATGAAGTTAAAATATATTAAAACATCTATTTTTCAGGAACACAAAATATTTATTTGACTTGGGTTTTTATTATATTACATCTATAGATTTAGTGTTGAATATTTATTGGTAATATCAGACCACCTGACCTGCCTCTTGAGAAACCTGTAGGCAGGTCAGGAAACAGTTAGAACTGGACATGGAACATGGACATGGACATGGAAAATTAGAGTTAGGGTTAGGTTAGGGTTAGGACTGGTTCCAAATAGGAAATGGAGTACATCAAGGCTGTATATTGTCACCCTGCTTATTTAACTTGTATGCAGAGTACATCATGAGAAATGCTGGGCTCGAGGAAGCACAAGCTGGAATCAAGATTGCCAGGAGAAATATCAATAACCTCAGATATGCAGATGACACCACCCTTATGGCAGAAAGTGAAAAACTAAAGAGCCTCTTGATGAAAGTGAAAGAGGAGAGTGAAAAATTTGGCTTAAAACTCAACATTCAGAAAACTAAGATCATGGCATCCAGTCCCATCACTTCATGGCAAATAGGGAAACAGTGGAAACAGTGTCAGACTTTATTTTTTTGGGCTCCAGAATCACTGCAGATGGTGATTGCAGCCATGAAATTAAAAGACGCTTACTCCTTGGAAGGAAAGTTATGACCAATCTAGATAGCATATTTCAAAGCAGAGACGTACTTTGCCAACAGAGGTCTGTCTAGTCAAAGCTATGCTTTTTCCCATGGTCATTTATGGATGTGAGAGTTGGACTATAAAGAGAGCTGAGCGCCGAAGAATTGATGCTTTTGAACTGTGGTGTTGGAGAAGACTCTTGAGGGTCTCTTGGACTGCAAGGAGATCCAACCAGTCCATCCTAAACGAGATCAGTCCTGGGTGTTCATTGGAAGGACTGATGCTGAAGCTGAAACTCCAATACTTTGGCCACCTGATGCACAGAGCTGACTCATTTGAAAAGACCCTGATGCGGGAATGATTGAGGGCAGGAGGTGAACGGGATGACAGGATGAGATGGTTGGATGACATCACCGACTCAATGGACATGAGTTTGGGTGGACTCCGGGAGTTGGTGATGGACAGGGAGGCCTGGCGTGCTGTGGTTCATGGGGTCGCAAAGAGTCGGATACTACTGAGCAACTAAACTGAACTGAACATCTATAGATTTAGTCTTGAAAATTTATTAGATGAAGTAAATATTTGATGTATGAAATTAGTTTTGTCATTTTAATTTCATTAAATGATAATGTAGTGTCTCAAAATTCTTGGCAGATCCAAATGCTAATTCTGGTGTGGTGGGTTTTGTTCTCATTTCATTAATTGCACCCAGAACTTGCAGTCCTTTTAGTTCTAACACTTTGAAAATTCCATTCTTATGGTGTTAGGTATAGCTTACTGGTTACTACAGATTATCACAAAAGCAGTTATCTGTATAATATTATAATTATCCCAGCTAAGTCAGATTTCTTTTTGTTACATAGATCATGATGTTATCAACTATAAATTTAAAATATTTAAATTAAATGCATTATGTTTGCTGGATTGATAAAGTTTATAGCTTTAAACAACACAGAAGTAAAACAATAAACTTGAAATGTTTTAAGTTTTAAAGACTTAAAATTTTAAGTCTTTAAAGTCTTAAAAATTTTAAATACTACAGGTATAAAGTTGCAAATGGTTCATATTTTTTCTATTGAAAGCAGTCTTATTTTCTGTTAAGCTCTTTAAGAGACATTGAGCTGAACTGAACTTTCTAGAAATCATATTGATAGTTGCTAGTGATGGCAGTAGTCTATATTTTTACATACAGCATGAAGAAACAAGTGGGTTATTCCAGTAATTTCTGCTGATGCTGGCTTTTGGGAAATAGCACAATCAACCTACTTTTAGTTTGAAGTGAAAGTCGCTCAGTTGTGTCCGACTCTTTGCAACCCCATGGACTATACAGTCCTTGGAATTCTCCAGGCCAGAATACTGGAGTGGGTAACCTATCCCTTCTCCAGCAGATCTTCCCAACCCAGGAATCGAACCAGGGTCTCCTGCATTGCAGGCAGATTCTTTACCAACTGAGCTATCAGGGAAGCCTACTTTTAGTATAGGAGAACCAAATTAGCAGTCATGTTAAGCTGGCACCTGTACAGTTCTTTTATTTTTAATGAGAACTATTTTTCAGAATATTGTTTACAATAATGAGTAGTTAGAAACAACCTATTAAAATATAAGTGATGACCAAAAGTTTGTGTTTTTTAAGTTTTATTGATATTCAATTCACATATCATATAATTCACCTACTTTAGTGTGTATTCTAGTGGTTTTTAGTATGTTCAAAGAGTTATGCAATCGTCACTACAGTCAGTTTTGATAACATTTGCATCACCCCAAAAAGAAACCTATGCTCATTTGAAGTCGTCTTCTTTTCCTCAACTTTCCCAGCTCTAGGCAACCACTAATCTACTTCCATTTTCTATAGATTAATATACTGGACAATTCATATAAATGGAATCATATAATCTGTGGTCTTCTATAATTGGCTTCTTTCACTTAGCATAATGTTTTCAAAGGTCATCCATGTCGTAATATCCTTTTAATGACTTAGTAATATTCTGTTTTCTGGGTAGACCACTGTTTGTTTATTCACTCATTAAATGATGAACAGTTCATTTCCACTTTTGGGATGTTATGAATAATTACTGGTATAAATATTTGTGTACAGCTTTTTTTGTGGACAGATATTTTAATTTCTTCTTGTGTATATTCCTGGAAGTCTAACTGCTGGGGCACATGGTAACACTGTTTAACATTTTGAGAAACGGCCACATTGTTTTCCAAAGTGGTTACATCATTTTACATTTCCACTCCAGTTCCAGTTTCTTCACATCCTCTCTCACACTTATTGTCATTTGATAATAGTCATTCTCGTGAGTGTGAAGTGGTATCTCATTGTGGTTTTGAATTTCATTTTTCTGATGACTAATGATGTCATGTGCTAGTTGGCTGTTTTGTGTATTTGCTTTGAAGAAGTGTCTTCAGGTTGAGCTTTTTAAAAAGGATCTGTTGCCAAGTTTTACTTTGAATAATATAATTGAAACCAAAATATGAATTACATTATAGCTAGAGCATTAATTGTCACTTCACCTTCTTAGAGTATATTGAAAATTTGAAGGTGGACATATGGGAATAATTGACAAGGGTTACTCTTTTTAATGGAATTTGACTTGGTCTATTTTTTTTTTTCTAGTGCTTCTTTGGAATTTGGAAATCTGGATGAAAGCTCTTTGGTTCAAACAAATGGGAGTGATCTCAGTGCAGAAGACAGAGAGCTTCTGAAAGCTTATCACCATAGTTTTGATGATGAAAAAGTAGACTTGGATTTGATTATGCATCTTCTATATAATATCTGCCATAGTTGTGAAGCTGGTAAATGAGTATTGTCTAAAAGAACTGGAACAAAAATATATTCTTTGTTTTAGAAATTAATATTTTGTATATATAAATTTTTATATGATTCCATTGATAATGCACTATCTCTTTAAATGTCATAGGTATTAGAGCTTATCAGTACTTGAAAACAGATATATAGTTCATTATATATAGTTGTTTTGATTGATTCTTGTTTTACAAAGAGATTAAATGTTAAAAAAATCATTCTTCTTCAAGGTGCAGTACTGATTTTTCTACCTGGATATGATGAAATTGTTGGTCTGAGGGATCGCATCCTGTTTGATGACAAGCGGTTTGCTGATAATGCACATAGGTAAAAGCTAACACTTTGCATTTGTTACTTTTTAATAACAGTTAGGTATCACAGTGTATTTTCTCTTAATTGTCAACAGGTATCAAGTCTTTATGCTTCATTCAAATATGCAAACATCTGATCAAAAGAAGGTATTAAAAAACCCACCTGCAGGTGTTCGAAAAATAGTAAGCCTCATAAAATATTCATTTTTCCATTTTGTTAGTCGTTGGTTTTACATTCATATTAACTATGATATAAAATTCTATTGCAGATCCTTTCTACCAATATTGCCGAAACCAGCATCACAGTCAATGATGTTGTCTTTGTTATTGATTCTGGTAAGGTGAAAGAGGTATGTATGAATAAATTGCAGTTTTACTTAAATGAAGAAGGTTAAGTTCCATAACAATAAATATTTTTATGAGCAGAATTCATCTTAATGGGGAAACTTCTGGTTCTAGGATGAATTTGAATAGTAAATGTTGGTTTCACTGAAGTGAATATTCTACTGTAAACAATTCAGTTTGTAGGATTTGTCTTGTTATTCTAACAGTTTAGTTTCTTCAGCTCCCCTGTGGCTCAGATGGTAGAGAAACTGCCTGCAATGCAGGAGAACCAGGTTTGATCCTTGGGTTGGGAAGATCCCCTGGAGAAGGAAATGACAACCTACTGCTGTATTCTTGCCTTGAGAATCCTATGGACAGAGGAGTCCATGGGGTTGCAAAGAGTCGGACACGACTGAGTGACTAACACACACACACAGTAATTATTAGGAAGAAAATGAAGCATTTGGCTAGTAAGTGAAAGTTTTGTCAATGTGGAAATTCGATTACACACTTTGTATGTTTTCTTTCTGCTTATGGGCATGGACTCGGTCCTTGTTCACTGTTACATGTCCAGCGCTCTGCATGTAGCATGAATGGGTATTCAAAAAATGCTCAGTTCAGAGGAACTCTCTTTACTTCAAGAAAACAAACATAAAACCAGGCTTCAGCAAATGATGGCTACCAGAAGAATTGGGCCCATAAACTGCTTTTGTAAAATAAGTTTTATTGGAATAATGCCACGTTCTTGTCCACTTTTACCCATTGTCTGACTGCTTTCATTCTGCAATGGCAGATTTGGGTAGTTGCAACAGAACCCCTCTGCAAAGGCTAAAACATTTCTGCTAACACCTGATATAAATAAAAGTCAGTGTTTATTTCCTTGTAGTATTGCAGTGCCCACCAATTCTCAGTATCCCTAATTTTGGTCAGTCCTTTCATGAAAGAATTGAAAATTTTTGGTTTTTCAAGGAAATAAATGCTATCCATGTTGAGAAAACAAATCATGTCTGCTCTAGTGGATATAAATGATCATTTTTAGTGTGAAAAGAAGTTACCTTTGTGTGTTATTAAGAAAACTGATGATAGTGTCAAAAGTTACTTTATATACAAAATTGATAAATGTAATATTTTATTAAAAACAAAATAAGCAGCATCTTTTCTAAAAATGTCATAATAAACTATTAAGAGAACCCATTTATATTTATTTATGTAGTTATTTTATGAAAAGGAAGATATAAAGTCACTAGAGTTGGTATATTCTATATATATATTCTAGTTGTATATATTCTATATGTATATTCTATATATATTCTATATATTCTAGTTGTATATATTCTACTTGGCAATGAATTCTTTTAAAATATTTCTCTGTAGTAAATTTTCACTTTAGTAGTGAAAATATGGGGTTAGTAGTGGTTCTTTTTCACTTTCTCTTTTGTAACATTCTGGATAGGCTAATACATAAGTAGTTCAGCAGGGGATAAAATGGATGGGGTTGAAAATTCTTCATTTGGGAATAGGATTACTTTAGTGATTATTACTGTTCTCTCTGATCAGCTCCTGAAAAGTATTTCAGAAAATGTCTTTCCCTGATGACTCCTATTCCCCACAATGATGTAAATCTGATAGAAAATGACCTTAAGAGAATAGATCAATTCTCTCCAATCTTGATGCCTTTTCAGAACTGACTGCCATTATCCAAGTGTAGTAGAGTAAAACAAATAGCTTAGCAAGGCACAGCATGAGGAAGTTTTACAGCTCTTCAGAGTTGAGTTTTTCTTCTTTTCCCTTAGAATGATTATAACGAGAAATCTGGATTTTTTAAAAAAATCAGTACCCTGTGCTAATTAGTCAAAAGGGACTCTGAATTAAACTTGGCATGTTAAAATATATTCATAATGTTTTCTATATCTTCTTAAATACCTTTTATGTATTAACATGAAGGTGATTTAAATGTTACAGAAATCCTTTGATGCACTGAATTTTGTTACAATGTTAAAAATGGTATGGATTTCCAAAGCTAGCGCCATACAACGAAAAGGCAGGTAATGTATATTTAATGAACATTCATTCAATTCCCATTCAAATGGGAACATATTTAATGTATATTCTACTTTCTATAAAATGTTAAAATCTTCATGTTTGTCTTAATTTTTATATTATTTTTTCAAAGCAGACCATTTTAATACTTATTTTAAAGTCAAATTTAGGTTATATTAAAAGTAAAAATTTTTGCCTTGTATAATCTACACTCAGAACATGTGAAAAATTTAAAAAATGAAAATAAAAGCAATGTAAGATAAAACTAATTTCTGTACTATACAAAAAAACTCAGAATAAATCAGTTAAATAAAGATCACTACATTAACCTCATGTATACCACATGTATCTCACATATATGTGAAGAAACGCAAATTAATAGGTACTACTAGTTTTTGCTTATCAGATTGGTATCAATGAAAATGTTTAAGTTGGAAAAAGCATAGGTCAGTAGGCTTTCATAGTTTGTTACTGGAAGTGTAAATTGGTGTGACTTCTTCACAGGATGATTTGAAATTGTTTATCCAGATCTCCCTTTTTGCAGTGGATTCCACTTCTCATAATTTATCCTGAGTATACTTGCACATGTGTGCAAAGATACATGTTTAAGTATGCTTTTAGGCAGTATATCATTAGTAGTGAAAAATCTGGGAACACTGTAATGTCCATAAATAGTGAAGTGGTTAAGCAAATTATATTATTGCCACATAATGTCTTACTAAGTAACTGTTAAAAGGAAATATGTAGATATATGTGTCTTATGTGGATAAGTTTTCAGAAACTCATATTAATTGAAAAAGTAAGGTATAAAGCATATATCTAGTATTTTCTTGTGCTAAAAAGTATCTGTATATGTTTACATATGCATTTAGACGTACATTGTCAAAGCAGAGAACAATAAAAATGGGTTTTTGACTGAGAAGGAGGACAAAATAAAAGATTATATTATCTAAACTTAGTTGATAAAGCAGCAGCAGAGTTTGAGAAGATTCACTCCAATTTTGAAAGAAGTTTTGTGGGTAAAATGCTATCAAATAGCATGGCATGCTTCAGAGAAATCATTTATGAAAGGAAGAATCCATAAATGTGGCAGACTTCATTGTTGTCTTATTTTAACAAATTGCCATAACTTCCAGCCTTCAGCTGATCAGCAGCCATCAACATTGAGGCATGACCCTCCACCAGCAAACAGATTATGACTTTGAAGGCCCAAATGATGGTTAGCATTTTTTTTAGTGATAAAGTATTTTTAAAATTAAGATATACACATTGCTTATTTAGATGTAATGCTATTGCATGCTTAATGTACTACAGTATAGTGTAAAACAACTCTTCTGGGTACTTGGAAACCAAAACATTCTTGTGACTTGCTTTGTTGTGTGTGTTACATCGTTTATTGTTATGTTGTTTGTTATTATGTTTATTATGTGTGCTTTAATGCCATAGTCTGGAATTGAATCTGAAATACCTTTAAGGTATGCCTGTAAATAATTCAAGAGGTACTCCGGAGAGTAATATTGGTGATTGTATGTTTAGGAGGTGAGGGGTAGGGAATAGAGTGGAATGAAGGATGTCTTACAGGTTTCTAAGAAAATTTTGTGGATGGTGGTGCTATTGTCAGGTGAAATGTGAAAGGTGGTGATATGAGGATAGTTAATTTTTGATTGTGTTGAGTTTGAGTTGACTGTGGAAAATCCAGGGGGAGCTAAGAGGCTTCTGAAATACAGGTCCAGATTAGGATAATGAGACCTAGATGGGTGAAATTTGAAGTTACGAGGATTATTAATTTCACCTGGGAGAGAGAGTAGAGTAAGGAGAGCAGAGATCTGAGGTCTGACCTCAGAGGAACATCAGCATTTAAGAACTGTGGAAGGATAGGAATTTCTTAGAGGAGGCTAGTTAGGTGGGAAAACTAATGTGTATGTAGTCAGGGAAATGGTGAAGGAAAGAATGGTCCAACAATGTCAGATTTTCTAACTTGTATCACACTGTGTTATAGTTCTGTTTTTCTCTCTGGATTGTGAACTTTGTGGCAATAGGGATATTTCTGTATCTCTGTCACTTGATATTAGCCTTGCTATTAGCTGACACAAGGACATTAAATGAAATTAAAAGTCACTGCTTTTCTTCAAAGTATATTTCTGGTACTTTACAGAAGATTATGCAAGTCTCTGATGATGAGGTAAATGACACTCCTTTAGAGTTGTATAAATGCATAACTTCCACAACTCTTATCAGTGGACCTAAACACAGTGCTTGGTATCAGCTTCATAAAACTGATTAAATGTAAATTGCTATATATTTATTCATACTTTATTTTTTATTCACTTTTATTTGTGTATATATATATATATGTATTAAATTTTTTTTTACCATTTTCTAGAAGTATTACTTGTCAGGTAGATATCATTCATGAATCTCACCTGTAAATGAAATAATTGAATTTCACACCTATGAAGTATCTTTTCAAAGGTTAGGGAATCAGTTTCAGAGTACAGATTGAAACTCACCAGATGTCCTGATACTGGTTTATTGTTCTGTCTCTTAAATCACATTGCTTTTCCAGTTTCCCTCTTATGGTTTTTATTCCTTGTTTGAGCCTTAATTTTGTGTTTTAATTTTAAGGGCAGGGCGATGCAGACCTGGAATTTGTTTCCGGCTGTTCAGTAGACTTCGATTCCAGAATATGTTGGAATTTCAGACTCCAGAGCTTTTGAGGATGCCATTACAGGTGGAAATTTACTAAATTCTAAAACGCTATGTTTGTGTGTGAGGGAGGAGAGGGATCATTTCAACTTACACCAATTGGACTTAAAAACAAATCAATTTATAAAATAAAATTCTAAAATATATATTATGGAGGGTCATTATATAAAACTAATATTTTTTCTATAAGAAAATTTAATTCAGAAACCTCCAAAATTTTAAAGAGCTGTTTGAGTGCATTTCAGTTATAGTATAGTTTGTAAATATACTGTTCTTTTTACTGTACCATTTTAGGATTCTGGCAACCACATCAGTGTTCACCTTTTAAATTCTCAATGAGAATTAGAAATGAGAAAGTAGAAAACAAATCATTTCTGCTTCTCTCAATGAGAAGTAGAAAACAAATCATTTATGGTCCAAAAGATAATACCAAAATCTCAGTTCAAGTTGCTGGACTTACCTTGTTAGTTTTGTAACTGAGTTCACTGAGATTTCCTGGTCTATATCAATTCTTTTCCTTTTAGTTTTCTGATTTAATGGAACAATCAAACACTGTAGTTCGTTGGGAAAACTATCAGAAGTACATTAATTTGATTCTTTGGTGTGCCAAGCTACATGCTGGCTTCCAAATCTTAAAGAGACACTGGATCATATTATTGGCATCCATATACCTGGATGACTTCCCACTTCTCCATGTCTATGTGCCATTACTTTCTGTTCTTCTTACGATGGAATGCAGAATTCTTAACAAGAGCCTAAATCATCTCTCCTGCTTGTGTCTCTGGTTGTAATTTTTAATTCATACCTTTCTTCTTCTCTCTACTCATACTAGTAGCTTCAATTTTTCAAGCACATTTTGTTTCTTTGTATCTCAGGGCCTTCATATGTGCCATCCCCTCTCTGTAGAATCCACCACATTATTCCTTTTCTGATTAACTAATCTTTACATAGGAGTTAATGCAGGAGACTTAAGAGATGCGGGTTTGATCCCTAGATCAGGAAGATCCTGTGGAGGAGGGCATGAAAATCCACTCCAGTATCTTTGCCTGGAGAATCCCTTGGACAGAGGAGGCTGGAGGGCTAGAGTACATAGGGTCGCAGAGAATCAGGCACAACTGAAGCTACTTAGCACGCACAATCTTTACATCTTAATTTGTGTCATTTGTTTAGAGAATTGTCTTTGACTTCCCATGACCACCTCCTCTTGCCATTTCTTGAACCTCATGTTTATGTCTTTAGTTCCTTTTATCCTTCATTATCACAACTGTAATTAAGTAGTTAATTATGTAATTATTCTGAAAATCCATGAGGGCAGTGTCTGCCTATGCTCTTCTTTTTCTCCAACTTGATGTGTAGTGCCTAGCATCTATCAAGCACTTAAATATTTGTCGAATAGAGAAAAGGTTGTAGAATGCAGTATAAAGGGGAAAATAAGATTTTTGGACAGTGACTATTATTGTTATATATAAGGACTATGTGAGAAGACACTGCCAGCAGGGACAGTAATGATTGAGAGGAGTAATGGGAGATGATTATTAAGATTCTCACACTAAAGTATGAGCCCATCTTTCATAGAAAGATCTTTCATGGAATGACATTGTTTCCTTTGCCGGTCATTTTAATCAGGGACTCTACTGATCTCTGTTGGGGATCTATAATTTCTATGATTTAAAAAAAAATGAAAATCAGCTATAAATGTCAACATTCAGAATTATTTGCTCTTTTTATTTACAGGAACTGTGTTTACATACAAAGCTTTTAGCCCCAGTTAATTGTGCTATTGCTGATTTCCTTATGAAAGCTCCTGAACCTCCACCAGCTTTAATTGTAAGAAATGCTGTACAAATGCTTAAGGTTGGTATCTTTATAGACTTATTTTACCTGACTGTTTTACTTGAAGTTTTAACCAATTGATAATATGTCTTAACTAACTTTGTACCTTACAAAATTATCTTAATAATCATGTATTTTGAATAATGCTTTCATGGTAATTATAGTAAAACAGTAGGTATGGTTCATTTTTACATGATATATTTGAAGCAGAAAATTTTTTTATGAGATGTAATAGCAAAAGAAAATTTATGTTCTTGTATCTTGCTTATGGACTTTTAAGTATAGGGTTTGATTAAACAGTTTTGATCATGTCCGTGTATATTTTGTATCTTTTTATTTAGACAGTAGATGCAATGGATGCATGGGAAGATCTCACTGAGCTTGGGTATCACTTGGCTGACTTGCCAGTAGAGCCACACCTTGGTAAAATGGTCCTGTGTGCTGTTGTTTTGAAGTGTCTGGATCCCATCCTTACAATTGCCTGCACACTAGCTTATCGAGATCCTTTTGTCCTGCCAACTCAGGCCTCTCAGAAACGCGCAGCTATGCTCTGTAGGAAACGTTTCACCGCAGGAACTTTCAGTGACCACATGGCACTTCTCAGAGCATTCCAGGTGATATTATTGTCATTTTATTTTTGAAATGTTGCTAAACACATTTCTAGAGTAAGTGTAACAAATTAAAAAAAGTAGATATGATTCCATTAATTTTATTTCATTATAAAGTCACAGTTTATTAATAGCTCCGAAGAATACCTTCCTACTACTACTATGTTAAAATTGTCATGTTTTTCTCTAGTTTCTTTCATTTTCTCAATTTTCTCCTTGTAGAAATATGTGTATATATACATTTTTTACTTTTATGTATATTTATTTATTTACAAGCTCAAATTCCTTATCATTAATCATATCTTATTCAGGAATGCTGTAAAATTTTAGTTAATAAGCAACTGTATATTACTCAAAGTGTACAGAACAAAACTTAGAAGAAAATTATTTTGAATTTAATATCTATTTATTGATTTTTTAGAGTATATCTCTTTCTTGTGTACTCAAGACAGTATACTAAGAATTTAATTTTATAAAGCAAAATCCAAAAATCACTTAAAAATTTTACGATAATAATGGTGAGAAATTGAGGAAAGTGATAAATGGGAAAGAAAGGATAAGAATAGTGAGCCTGAGTAAAGGAAATGATATTGAAATTAAAAAAATAATAATTGTAAGCTCTTTTGTGGGCATTATTGAACAGAGGTTGATGCATTGCTATTAATTGGGTATATCAAATACTATATATCATAATATTAAGTAATAATATTGTAATCAGAGGAAGATTTGGAGTGGAATTCCTTTCTAGTCTGTTTTTTCCCCAGCTTTTCAGTTATGTTCTGAAACAAGAGAACTCATTTTCAAAGAGAAGCTTTACTATACCACATATAGGTAATTTCTAGGAATCTCACTTTCCATTCTTACACAGAGTAGGAAGTTGATATAAAGGTTATTTTTAGAGGCCTGGAGTTACAGGATTCTTAGATATAATGGTATTATGATGGCTTAGTTGGAAATCTCTCATTGTTTAGTGGAGGAAAACTAGCAGGCACATCTATAAAGGTGAATATTTTTACGTAGCTAGGTGTTTAGGTTAACTGATACTTCATTATTGTTAGAACTTTATAAACTCAATGACTTTCATAGCATCATAGCATTTGAGTATAAATTATCTAATGATAATTCTATTTGATTACAAAGTCTTAGATTTTATTTTATTTATTTATTTATTTTCATTTATTTTTATTAGTTGGAGGCTAATTACTTATTGTAGTGGTTTTTGCCATACATGACAGGAATCAGCCATGGATTTACATGTGTTCCCCATCCTGATCCCCCCCTCCCACCTCCTTCCCCATCCCATCCCTTTGGATCTTCCCAGTGAATTATTTATTCTTAAAAAATGAGATATAATTGACATATAATATTATATTAGTTTTAGGTGTAGAGCCTGATGACAGTATTTGTATATATTGTGAAATGATCACCACAATAAGTCTAGTTAACATCATCCATCACTATGTTGTTGTTGTTTAGTTGCTAAGTCATGTCTGACTCTTTGTGATCCCATGAACTGCACCATGCCAGGCCTTTCTGTCCTCCACTGTCTCCTGGAGTTTGCTCAGACTCATGTTGATTGAGTCAGTGATGCCATCCAACCATCTCATCCTCTGTTACCCCTTCTCCTCTTGCCCTCAATCTTTCCCATCATCAGGGTCTTTTCTGGAATTGGCTTTTTGCATCCTGTGGCCAAAGTATTGGCACTTCAGCTTCAGCACCAGTCCCTCCAATGAATAATTACAGTTGATTTCCTTTAGGACTGACTGGTTGGATCTCCTTGCTGTCCAAGGGACTCTCAAGAGTCTTCTCCAACACCACAGTTCAAAAGCATCAATTCTTCAGCACTCAGTTCTTTATAGTTCAAATCTCACATCCATACATGACTTCTGGAAAAACCATAGCTTTGACTAGGTGGACCTTTGTTGGTAAAGTTATGTCTCTTCTTTTTAATACATTTTCTAGGTTTGTCATAGCTGTTCTTCCAAGGAGCAAGCATCTTTTAATTTCATGGCTGCAGTCACCATTCACAGTGATTTTGGAGTGCAGAAAATGAAATCTGACACTCTTTCCCCATCTATTCGCCATGAAGTGATAGGACCAATGCCATTATCTTTGTTTTTTGAATATTGAGTTTTAAGCCAGCTTTTTCCTTCTACCTTCATCAAGAGGCTCTTTATTTCCTCTTCACTTTCTGCCATTAAAGTGGTATCATCTGCATATCTGAGGTTGTTGGTATTTCTCCCAGCAATCTTGATTCCAGCTTGTGCTTCATCCTTCCCAGCATTTCAAATGATGTACTCTGCATATAAATTAAATAAGCAGGGTGACAGTATACCATCTTCTGCCCAGTTTTGAACCAGTCAGTTGTTCCTTGTCCAGTTCTAACTGTTGCTTCTTGCCCGGATACAGGTTTCTCAGGAGGCGCGTACTGGGGTCTTGTATTTCCATCTCAGTAAGAATATTCCACAGTTTGTTGTGATCTACACAAAGGTTTTACTGTAGTCAATGAAGCAGAAGTAGATGTTTTATGGGAATTAAGCTTACTTTTTCTATGATCCAGTGTATGTTGGCAATTTAATCTCTGGTTCATCTGCCTTTTCTAAATCCATTTTGTACCTCTGGAAGTTCTTATTTCATGTACTGCTGAAGCCTAGCTTGAAGGATTTTGAGCATTACCTTGCTGGCGTGTGAAATGAGTGCAGTTGTACAGTAATTTGAACATTCTTTGGCATTGCCTTTCTTTGGGATTGGAATGAAACTGACCTTTTCCAGTCTTGTGGCCGCTGCTGAGTTATCGAAATTTGCTGACATAATGAGTGCAGCACTTTCAAAGCATCATCTTTGAGGATTTTAAGTAGCTCAGCTGGAATTCCATCAGCTCCCCTAGCTTTGTTCATTGTAATGCTTCCTAAGGCCCACTTGGCTTCAGACTCTAGGATGTCTGGCTCTAGGTGAGTGACCACATCATTGTGGTTATTGGGTCATTAAGAGCTTTATTGTACAGTTCTGTGTATTCTTGTCACCTTTTCTTAATCTCTTCCGCTTCTGTTAGGTCCTTGCTGTTTTTGTCCTTTGTTGTGCCTATCTTTGCATAAAATGTTCCCTTGGTATCTCTAATTTTCTTAAAGAGATCTCTAGTCTTTCCCATTCTGTTGTTTTCCTTTACTTCTTTGCATTGTTCCCTTAAGAAGGCTTTCTTATCTTTCCTTGTTAACAATGTTTTTCTTGTGATAAGAGCTTTTAAGGCCTATTCTCTAGTCTGTTAACTAAAATTGTGATCATTTCACAATACATACACGTATTGAATCATTATATTATGCACCTAAAGCTAATGTTATAAGTCAATTCTGTCTCAATAGAAAAAGTTACTCTTGGGGACTTCCTGGTGGTCCAGTGGTTAAGACTCTGTGCTTCTAGTGCAGGGGGTGCAGGTTTGACCCCTCATCAGGGAACTAAGATCCTACATGCTGTGTGGTGCAGCCAAAAAAACCAAAATTACTCTCAGATGAACTTATTTACAAAACAGAAATAAAGTCACAGATGTTGAAAACAAACTTACGGTTACTAAAGGGAAAAGGAGGAGGGAGGGATAGATTGAGAGATGGAGATTGACATGTATACACTACTATATATAAAATAGATAGCTGTGGAGAGCTTACTGTATCTCACAGGGAACTCTGCTCAGTCCTCTGTAATGACCTATGGGGAAAAGAATAAAGAAGAGTCGATATATGTATGCATATAACTGGTTCACTTTGCTGTGCAGAGAAACTAACACAGATTGTAAATCAAATATATTCCAGTAAAAATTACTTAAAAAATAAATGTTCTTGTTAAAAATGAAGAAAATTACTCTCTTAGAAACTTTACAGTATACAATACAGTGTTATTAACTATAGACCATGCTGTACATTACATCCCCAGGACTTATTTATTTTATAACTTGAAGTCTGTACCTTTTAATCCCCTTCACTTGTTTCACCCACCCTCTACTCCCCTAACCTCCCCCCTCTTGCAGTCATCAATCTGTACTCTATATCTATGAGTATGTTTTTGTTTGCTTGTTTTCTTTATTTGTAAGAGAATTATAAAAAGAAGAATTGACTTTGAGTGGTTAATATAATGATTTTCAGTGACTTTGCTGCCTAACTGAGAGTGATGTGTCTTTTGTGTAATTTTGTTTTTATAGGCATGGCAGAAAGCTCGAAGTGATGGCTGGGAACGAGCCTTTTGTGAGAAGAATTTTCTTTCACAGGCTACCATGGAAATAATCATCGGCATGAGAACTCAGTTGCTTGGTCAGCTTAGAGCGTCAGGTAAAGTTTTCCTCCAGAGAACCTATTTCAGCTACTGGGAATGCCCTGCCTGTACCTTAAAACACTTCTTCTGTTAACTAACGCCATCTTGCATTGTCTTTGTAACATTATCATGTTGTCTATCTTTTGTTCATGAACTGCTTTGTATTAACTTTGTAGACTTCTGCATGATGTCAACTTTGTTTGTTGATTAAAAAAATGAAATTGTAGAAGCTGTGGGTGATAAATAAATGAATGATATAATGTTGGCAATAAACAATTTATATTTTTTGGGAAAATAGATTTAGGTATGGTACTTATTATATTTTATCACTATTAATAAATAGTTTTATGGAAGAGAAATTGCTAAAAATTAAGTAGATTGATATGAATGCTGTCCTTTATATTTTTGGAACATAAAACAACTAGTAAGCACGTGAAGACACTTGATTTTTTTTTTAAGAGAATGCCAGTTTTGCTATATCATTTTAGAATTGTTTCTTTGAATTTCTGTTTGAGTGGCATTTTATCTTGAGGAAATAGAAGAAAAGTACCTGAGTCTGGATTCCTAGAATAGCTCAAGTGCCAAAGTGATATAAGGCATGAACCAGAGGATTTAGAGTTGTTTCAAATATGGGGAGATATGAAGGACTATTGAAATTCAAGCAAGAATACTTTATATTTATTTGACTTCACTTCCAGGATTAGTGTCTATCACAACCAACATGATATTAATACCATTCAGCAGAGTATTTTAGGTTTTTAGGTATGATTTTAGGATGCTTCTGATAACTGTTTATGGAGAACTTTATTGCAAGAGTGTGTATTTTTTTTTTAAGTCCACAACTTCCCAGTGTATCTACTGCTTACTTTAGTCTAAGTAAACCTAAACTTTCTTAGAGCATTGCTTCTGAATGTTAAACTTTTCAGAAGATATTTTATGAATTATTGTGAAATTTGAATCATTAAACTTGCATCTGTTATAAATTATTTTTTTGTGCGTGAAAACCACAAATTTAAAAGATATCTTGTGAAGTAGAAAAAGTTGGTGTGGTTTCTTTTGTCTTTCTAGGTTTTGTGAGAGCAAGAGGTGGTGGTGACATTCGAGATGTTAACACAAATTCTGAGAATTGGGCTGTTGTTAAAGCTGCATTGGTTGCAGGCATGTATCCTCATTTAGTTCATGTGGACAGAGAGAATATAGTATTGGCAGGGCCAAAGGAGAAAAAAGTACGGTTTCATCCCACTTCAGTTCTCAGTCAGCCTCAATATAAAAAGGTAAAACTTTTTGAATGCTTTTTGGCCTTGAGGTAAAACTTGTCTAATTTAAATAGTTGAAAATGAATGAAAAATGTTCCAAATACAAACATGCTTTGCAAAATTAATTAGTTATAAATGTACAATTCAACACTGAAACAAAACTTTGATAGAATTGAAAGAAGTAATGTGTTAAGTATTAAGGGACTTTTGTACGAACTACGTGAGCAATGATTTGCTTTAATTCTTGTTTGATTAGTAATATATGCATCATCTATTTTGCTGAGGGACTTTATACACTTTAAAAGAATTACCAGCAAGTTAAGTGATAAATTCAGTTAATAGTTTTAAAATTTATCTTCCTAACAGATTCCTCCAGCTAACGGTCAAACTGCGGCCATCCAGGCACTGCCCACAGATTGGCTCATTTATGATGAAATGACCAGAGCCCACAGAATAGCTAACATCAGATGCTGCTCAGCAGTGACGCCTGTCACTGTGCTGTTGTTCTGTGGGCCAGCGAGGCTGGCAAGCAGTGCTCTTCAGGAACCTTCATCTTTTCGTGGTAAATATATTGTGATGGAAATACAAATCCATTTGAGAGAAAAATCTGTTTTTTTCTTCTTATTGAACCAAACAAAATTTGAAATTATAGAAATTTATGTGGTAGTAGCTCCCTTTTGATGTATTAAGACTAATTAATAAATATTAAACTATACCACTGTTCTTGAAATTGATTTCTAAGATAGCTTGATATTGATTTGTACATTTTTAATTAATCTTGCTGATAGGAAGTTTAGTTTTCTCTTCCACTTGAATTTAAATAATAGTTTAACATAAATAAAGGTAATTGTTTAAAAGAAATGTTACCCATAATCCTACTAACTTTATGCAGACACTTTTTAATATTATGTATTTTTTTCTGTGTGTTTAAATATTTTAGGTATTTCACCCATACTGTTATTTTATATTCTATTTTCATTTCACAAAATACAAAATATAGAAAACATTTTTAATATTTTATATTAATGGTTGGAAAATATTCTGTCACATTAAAGTGACAGAATGCTTTTAAAATATTTCTTTATAGTTGGATCTCTTGATTGTTTTCAATTTTTTGTCATTTGGTGTTTCAGCAAATATTTATTTATGTCAATTATTGTGCTGGGCATTGAGGATGTAAAAATTTGAGAAAGATTTGAGAAATTCTGATATTTAGAATTTGAGTAGAGAAATAAAGAATGGCCAGATGCTGAGTTTTAATTTATGACCTACTAGAGACAGAGAAGGCAATGGCACCCCACTCCAGTACTCTTGCCTGGAAAATCCCATGGATGGAGGAGCCTGGTAGGCTGTAGTCCATGGGGTCGCTAAGAGTCGGACTCGACTGAGCAACTTCCCTTTCACTTTTCACTTTCATGCATTGGAGAAGGAAATGGCAACCCACTCCAGTGTTCTTGCCTGGAGAATCCCAGGGACGGGGAAGCCTGGTGGGCTGCCATTTATGGAGTCGCACAGAGTCAGACACGACTGAAGTGACTTAGCAGCAACAGCAGTGTTGAGAGAACTCTCCACCAAATTGTTAGTATATAAGGAGGATTTGTTTAAATGCAGAGTATCTGTATTGGCTTACTTTTTTTGCTGTGATGTTAGATAGTAAAAGTGAATTTTTTTCCCTTTCCATACGTGTTTGAACAGCGGATGGTATTCCTAATGACAGTAGTGATAGTGAGATGGAAGACAGGACTACTGCTAATTTGGCAACTTTAAAACTTGATGAGTGGCTCAGTTTCAAACTAGAGCCAGAGGTAAGTTGCTTTCTAGTAGTGTGATAGATTCCTTTCATTCAGTTGTATGAACTATACATGGTGTGATGAAAATTGTCTCTTTTAAAATTGAGCCCTTAGTGTGAAAGAATAGAATACAGCTTGTTTTTCAGTTTTCATAGGGCCCTGTTACATTCTCTGAAATGTTGCGGTTTATTCCTATAGAGGATTTGAAAAACCTAGGTGTCACTCAGTATTTGAACATGGTGATATTTGAATATGTTTGTGCATGTTAGAAAATACTGAGTATTGGGTACACAAGAAATTCTTTTATTTTATATAACTCTGTTTAAAGGGAAAGATACTAGGTCATTCTGTTTTTTCTTTACATGTATCTCTCAAGTAGGAAAGATGAATGCTTGTTATCAAATTAAAATTTTTGACAAAGCCTTCCCTTAATTCTATCTTTACTTTTAAAGATCATTTTATATCCTTTTGGGGAACAATATGAACTGTCAAAAGTTGATGCTGGCTAGTGCTTACTTTTTTACATGCATTACTTCATCACTTCAACCTACTGCAGTCTCCTTTCCATTCCCATCGATTTTTCACTTCACTGAAACTGTCCTTGCCAAGGTCGGTGCTGTCTCCTCCATGTTGTCAAAGCCAGACTGCTGTTCTTGATAAATTTGGTCTTTCCCTCATAGTTAACACTATTGCTTGTACCCTTCCCCATTTCCTTCCTCACCACTGTCCAACTTCTTTGTCACTAGTTTTTCTTTCTCTCATCATTGGACTGTGTAACTTGATTTTGTGTCTCTAGTGCCTCAAAATGGTAAAGAAGAAATTTTATTTCTTTCATGCAACAAGATGAATGGAACTGATAATGAAATATATGAAATGTGAAATGTGTTCTTTGGAAACAATTTCAGACTAATAAATAATTGTCTTGCAAGTGTGGTACATATTTTGCTGTTACCTATTTGAACTGGGTGCTTCCTTGATAGCTCAGTTGGTAAAGAATCCGCCTGCAATGCAGGAGACCCGGGTTTGATTCCTGGGTCAGGACGATCCACTGGAGAAGGGACAGGCTGCCCACTCCAGTATTCTTGGGTTTCCATTGTGGCTCAGCTGGTAAAGAATCTGCCCACAATGTGGGAGACCTGGGTTCAGTCCCTGGGTTGGAAAGATCCCCTGGAAAAGGGAAAGGCTACCCACTCCAGTATTCTGGCCTAGAGAATTCCATGGCTGTATAGTCTTTGGGATCACAAAGAGTTGGACCCAACTGAGTGACTTTCACTTTCATTTGAACTGAAAAAAAGCTATTTTATTACAGGCAGCCAGTTTATTGCTGCAACTTAGACAGAAGTGGCACAGCTTATTTTTACGTCGAATGAGAGCTCCATCCAAACCTTGGTCTCAAGTTGATGAAGCTACTATAAGAGCAATTATAGCTGTTTTAAGCACTGAAGAACAATCTGCAGGCTTACAACAGCCATCTGGGATTGGCCAAAGGCCAAGACCCATGTCTTCAGAAGAACTTCCTTTGGCATCATCTTGGAGGTCAAATAATAGTAGGAAAAGTTCAGCAGATACTGAATTTTCTGATGAGTCTACTACTGCAGAAAGGTAAATTTATAGCATTTTATTAAAATGAGATATTTTCTCTAGGAAATAGTTATTTATCATAGAATCACATGCTTTTATAATATTTAAAAATTACTTATAATCTGAGATAGGCAAAAAGGTTGCAATAAAATGGGAGGGATTTATTACTTTTAAAACGTAATTCTTTTACGTGTTAGATAATACGAAGAATTTCAAGCTCCTGGCGTCTTGAATTATTTTAAAAGGATTTTTTTTTTTTTGGTCAGGAAAAGCTCAAAATGTTTAATTTTCAGAATTTATAAATGTAGGGTCTATGAAAAAGATAACAGCATTTTTTATTATGCATTTTAGTTCATATATGTCAAGTCATATCTTTCCTAGATACCTCACAGCAAAAAGTGTTGGCTATGGCCATTTAGAAGAACTGTCTCCTCCCAAGTCTTACCTAGATATTAATAAAACTGATTGGTTTTTATACAGAAAAGTACTTTATTCATTTGTTCATACAGGGACATATTAAATGCTTAGTGTTCTTAGTGTGAGGCATATAGCAGTGTATAACAAATAAAAAACAAATCTCTTCAGAAAGGTTACATTTTGTTGAAGAAAGGAATACATATATTAAAAAAGTAAATTTACTGTCTTGGCAAAATTTCTTAGAATTTAGCTAAATTCTTTTATCCTTTCTATCATTTGGCAGTTAGATGTAAATTTTTTATTCTATGATTATTGAGAGCTCTTATATTGAATCATTTTTCCGAAATGTATTTGGTAATATAATAGTATTTATAGTGAATGGTTGGCCATGATTTAGAAATATTTCTGGTTGTAAAAATGTTTATTAGAACCCAATTTGTTTTTCTTTATTCTTTATATCAGTTAAATTTTTTTTTTTTTACCCTGATAGAATGGATAACAGAGACAACATTCTTGCCTGGAATGCTAGTTTGAACAATATAGTAGATATTATCTCTATGCTAAGAATATTATTTCATTGTTAAAAATTGAAAATAGAAATAATAGAAGCATAAAAGATATGTGATGCTTATTGTTTTTCAAGGATCAGATGGAATATTTAGTACCTACTGTCTTTTGATCAGATTTTACTTATTTGAATGAAGCATAAAGTCATGTTATCAGTTAAGACTTCAGTAAAAATAATAATACATGATGGTTTCCAAGTTTTTCATATATAACATTTTAGGAATAATTCAACCAATTGCTTGTAATAATGTGTGTCCCTAAACCTTTTTCTGTGATGTAGATACTGCCAAGCAAAAAGAAAATAGTAAAAAATACATTTTCTACTTAGATACTTCTCACTTTTTAAAAAGATTTTTCTAAAAACTTCCTTGAACAAGGGTTATTTCAAATACGTGAATACATTTGTGTAGAAATTGTGTGGTAGACTTATTTATAGACTCTTCTGTAAAATATATATATATTTAGAGAATATATATATTCAGATATATATATATTTAGAGAATATATATATATTCAGATATATATATTCAGAGAGACTATTTATACACATGTGTTTATATACATACATACTATACACATTTATGAGAAAATTTTTCCTATTTTCTTTATAAAAGTAATATATACTCATTTAATAAAAATTAGAAATGCAGGAGAAAATCATAATTATAATAAAGTATAATATTAGTTATGCTTTAGAAACTGATTATCTTATAAATTCATTTCTTCTCCTGTGATATGAGTATCTGCCATTTTCCTTTCTTTATAGGTTGTAACCTTGCTTTCTTTATTCTCTTATCTGTTGAACAGTGAGAGAAAGAATTTCATGTATTTTTAGACTTTGTAGTTTTAATAGACAAGGCCTGAAACTGATGTAGCTTATTGAGGAATAGATTAGGACTCTTCTGAAGATGTATTTTTGAATGGAGAATAATCTTTCTTTATAATCTTTCTGGAATTGCTTCTTGAAGAAAAGGTATTTATAGTTAAGAGTTTTTACAGTAGGATGGCAAAATATAGATCAGATAATTTCTTTTAATAAAAACATTAAAGTTATTTTTAAAAGCTTAAGAAACTATTAAAACATGGAAATTGCTCATATCCCATTATAAAATTAAACCAGTGTTTTAAATTGTCATTTTTTACATAATAATTTGCTTACAAAGAATAAACATCTTTTCTATGAGAAAAATGAGATATAACTGAGTTATCAGAATTCTTTGTTCCTCTTAAATGAAAATGTAGGTGGAAGGGTTTATACAAATGCTTTGTTTCTACATGCATGAAATTTGAGGGGGAGCCAAAATTTGGGGAAGAAGAGAGAGGAAAGCGAGAATAGAGCACAGAATCAAAGATCAAATTGGAAACTGCAAAAGTAGGCATTTAGTTCTATTGGAAGCATCTTTTTTATTTTAATAAGATATTACTCTCAACTAAGTTCTGTTACCTAGTTTTCAGATAAATAATCTGCCAAGGTAAGAATGATGGAATTTTAGAGGTATAACTTGATAATTCACTGAACTTCAATTCTTGAAGACAAAAGCCCTGAAAAGTTGGTTTTTTATATTTATCAAGTCCTTAATAATTATTCACATGTTTATTCATTATATATTTTTGTTAGCATTTTTAGACTTTAGCTATTTTATTTCATTTGTGAAAGAAATATTGAATTCAAGATATTTATTGAAAGAGAAGCAAATTGTGGGGATAAGCTATTTAAACTTATTTTGAAGGCAGAGTAATTATAATTGCAAGACTCAGTGGAAGTTTATGAACTGTTTATGACTTATTCTTTTTATGCTTTGTTTAATTATTATATATAAACACAGCAAAGTAAATTGATTGTTGTTGTTCAGTCTCCCAGTTGTGTCCAACTCTGTGACCCCATGGACTGCAGCACTCCATGCTTCTCTGTCCCCCACCATCTCCTGAAGTTTGCCCAAGTTCATGTCCATTGCATCAGTGATGCCATCCAGCCATCTCATCCTCAGACGATTTTCACCTATTTGCTGTATCTACCCAATTATTTTTTCCTTGCTTTCTTTCTTTTTTGTTCACGTATTTCAAAATCAGTCTCTCATATCATGTCATTTTACTCCTCTGTATTTAGATTTGTATTTCTTAAAAAATAGAGGCATTTTTCCTTTACAATCAAAATCCAATAATCAGTCCCAATAAAATAATCATTTCCCCAATTCTCAAACTATGTTTATTTGAAATAGCATTTAGGGAGGACTCAACTCATGCACTGTGTTAGGGTGTCTTGTTTCTTGAATCTGTTGTGATCTAGAGCAGTTTGTTCCTTTGTTGACTTTTCTTAGGAAACTAGGTCAGTGGTATGAGATGTACCACATTCTGGATATGTCTCTTTTTATTGCTATACCCTGCATATTTCATGGATGTGGTTAGCTGTCACGGCTTGATTAGATCCAGTATTTTGGCAAGAACATTTTTTTTCCTTTTGGCAGGAATATTTTATAGGTAATGCTATGAACTTTATATTATACTGCTTTAGTAAGTACTTAATGTCTTCTTTGTTTTTTAATGTCTGGTTTTCCACTGAGATGTATACTTTAAAAAAAATTATAAAATTCTTGACTGTCATTTTTGCTGCATTTATTCAGAGAACTTTAAAACAGAAGAATCTTAGCATTTAGCCAGTTTAATCCCTTTATTTAACAGCTAAGGATATTAGCTAAATTAAATTAAAAGATAAATTACAAGACTTGCCCAGGATCACCTACCTCATTAGTTGTAAATTTAGTTCTGTCTGAAAATCTTCTCTTCTGATTCTAGTCCAGTATTATTTCCATTTTGCCATGCTGTAATTTTTGGTATACTTTTGAAATCTGTTTGGTTTTAAGATATATGCAAGTGGAAGAGGAGTAGGTGATTTTTTAGTAACGGCCATTAGCATAGATGTGTTTAAATAATTTTAAAATGTTAAAGACATTAGGCATCGATATATGACATTATAATTGTTTAGGATTTTTTCTAGACTGTCATAAAAGATGTTAGGAGTTTTGTAAGGAAAATAATACATGGGTATCTAAATTAAAATTTTTTATAGGTTGTTTTTAATGTATTTTTGTATTGTTTTAAAAAAAGTAATCTTTTTAAGTGTACCTAATAGTACAGTCCTTTCTTCTAAGTGTAATAGAAGAATGAAACTGCCTTTTTAAATGCTATTCCGTATATCACAGAATCATTGAACTTTGGTTTGAAATGGAGTCTGCTTTGTATTATGATCTTATGTGTAACTGATCTTTGCTTCCTTCTTTTTACTGAAGAGTACTGATGAAATCTCCAGCTCCAGCACTACACCAACCTCAGAAGTATAAAGATAGAGGAATTTTGCATCCTAAACGAAGCACTGAGGACCGGTCAGATCAATCTTCTGTGAAATCTACAGACAGCAGTAATTATCCAAGTCCTTGTGCTAGTCCTTCTCCTCCATCCTCAGGAAAGGTAGAGTATCAGGGATTTGTAGCACATCTGGTGTTACATATTTAAACAAAATTATAAATAATTCTACTTTTAAATCACTGATCATGGCTTCTGTTCTAGATACAAATAGAAGTTTGCAAACAGTAAATTTTTTATTTTTTCCTGCTTGCCAGGTATTTTTGGTCGGTATCATCCAGGGAAGTTTTCATACTAGTAGACCATTCCCTAATGGCATGTGGCTAAGCAGTTCATGATTCCCTTTCTGTATCTTTAGAACCTTTTTTTGTTAAATACACATAACAAGAGGAATTTCTTAAATTAATTTTGATTTGTACTTTCAGAATTGAAAACAATCATTTCTTTCATTCTTAACTGAGTTCTTCAATTCAGTGGTTATATTAAAAATACAACATATCTTAGGAAGATAAGGAAATGTTGATAAAGAATTGAGAACTATATATCTTTTACAAAGTTTATGATATGAATTATTTCAACTATTTAGAATAATTTTAATTTAATACCTGAATAAGTATTTGGTTAGTGTTTTTTAGCTATGTGATGTAGTTCTGGTGAAAATGTCTGCTAAAATACTGTTGTTAAATAAGAGGAAAAGAAATGTTTTTGCAGATTTATATTCTTAGGTTTTACGAGTATTTTTGGTTTTAATTTTAAGTGCCTTTATTAAGGCATAATTTACATGATAAAATCCACCAATTCAAACTGTTCAATTCAGTGAATTTTGACAAGTGTATGCAATCATGAATTGTACTATAGCCTCATGGAGAGCATTCCCATTACCCTCGGATTCTGGCAACCACTAAGCTGCTCTTTGTTCTTAAAGCTTTGCCTCTTTTTGGAACTTCCTGTAAAGGAAATGTATATAACTTTTTGTGACTGGATTATTTCACTTTTGAAATTGATTTGTAAATTATTGAGTTTATTATATTATATTAGTTATATATAATATGCAATGTTATTATATATTTATATTATAGTATATAGTATAAATATATTTAATTATATTTGATTTATATTAAATTATATTAAATTATATTTATATATAAATTATATATAAATATATAGATTATAAATTACATATAAATTATTATATATAAACATATAATTTTGTATTAATTATATAATTATTATATTATATTTAATTATATTTAATTATATTTATATTTTGAATTATATATTATGGCTAGTATAGCTATTAATATTATATTAATATATATTACATATATCATATAATAGTATATATTATTTATATTAGTATTATGTATAATATAATGTAAATTATATTATATATTATATAAATAATATACATTACAATATATAATAATTTAATATAAGTATTATGTATAATATTATATATAATATTATATATATTAATAATATATTAATTATGCAAGTAGAAGATAATATAAGTGGAATATTAATATAATTATTTTAGTTACATATATTATTGTTATAATTATTATATTATTAGTTTATTACTTGTTATTGCTGAATAGTAAGTATTCCGTTGTGTGGATATATCCTGTTCAGTTCAGTTCAGTCACTCTGCTGTGTCTGACTCTTTGCGACCCCATGGACTACAGCACACCAGGCTTCCCTGTCCATCACCAATTCCCGGAGCTTACCCAAACTCATGTCCACTGAGTTGATGCCAACCATCTCATCCTCTGTTGTTCCCTTCTCTTCCCGCCTTCAATCTTTCCCAGCATCAGGGTCTTTTCAAATGAGTCAGTTCTTCACATCAGGTGGCCAAAGTACTGGAGTTTCAGCTTCAGCATCAGTCCTTCCAATGAACACCAATGAACACTCCTTTAGGATGGACTGGTTGGGTCTCCTTGCAGTCCAAGGGACTCTCAAGAGTCTTCTCCAACATCACAGTTCAAAAGCATCAATTTTTCGGCCCTCAGCTTTCCTCACAGTCCAACTCTCACATCCATACATGACCACTGGAAAAACCATAGCTTTGACTAGATGGACCTTTGTTGGCAAAGTAATGTTTCTGCTTTTTAATATGCTGTCTAGGTTTGTCATAAATTTTCTTCCAAGGAACAAGCATCTTTTAATTTCATGCCTGCAGTCACCATCTGCAGTGATTTTGGAGTCCCCCAAAATAAAGTCAGCCACTGTTTCCACTCTTTCCCCATCTATTTACCATGAAGTGATGGGACCAGATGCCATGATCTTAGTTTTATGAATGTTGAGTTTTAAGCCAACTTTTCACTCTCCTCTTTTGCTTTCATCAAGAGGCTCTTAAGTTCTTCGCTTTCTGCCAAAAGGGTGGAGTCATGTACATATCTGAGGTTATTGATATTTCTTCTGGCAGTCTTGATTCCAGATTTGTTTATAAACAGTATGTTCATCTATTCACCATTCAAGGACTTTTGGCTTGTTTCTACTTTTTGGCTGTTATTAATAATATTCAGGTACACATCTTTATGTACAGATGTGTTCTCTGATCTTGGGTACATACCCATGAGTGTGTTTGTTGGGTTGTGTGGTGAGTGTAACTTTACAAGAAACTACTTAGCTGTTTTCCAAAATAGCTGCACTATTTTCTGTCCCCTTCAGTAATCTATGAGGATTCCATTTGCTCAATATTCTTAACAGTACTTGACATTACTAGACTCTTAATTTTAGCTATTTAGGTGTATAGTGAAGTGCCATTGTAGTTTTAACTTGCATTTTCCCAATGATTAAGTATTATATTGACCATCATTTCACATGCTTTTTTCCATTTCTGAATCTTCTTTGGTGAAATATCTGTTCAAGTTTTTGTTAAACTTTTTTAGGTTGTTTCTTGGTTGTCTTTTTTAAATTTAGTTGTAAGAGTTCTCTATACAAGTTTTAATTATCTGTGTTGTAAACACTTTTTTCAATAGTCTGTGCTTGCACTTACATTTTATTAATGGTGTCTTTTTTTGTCTTCATGTAACCCATCACTTTATTTATGTATTTAAGAGTGTTTTTAACTTTTTTTAGTTTTTAACTTTTTATTGAGGTATACTTGATTTACAATATCATATTAGTTTTAGGTGTACAACATAATGATTCAATATTTTTATGGGTCATACTCCATTTAAAATTGTTACAAAATAATGGTTATATTTTCCTGTTATATACAATGTGTCCTTGTTATTTATTTATTTTTAATTTAATTTTTATTTTATATTAGAGTATAGTTGGTTTATAATATTGTGTTAGTTTCAGGTGTACATCAACGTGATTCTGTTATCTTTTAAAGAACAAATGCTTTTAATTTTGATGGAAGTCCATTTAATTTATTTTTAATATTTCATCTGTATTTTCTATTACAGTTCATATTTTTTGTGTCTAAAAGTCCTTGCCTCATCAAAGATTCCAGAGATTTTCTGCTGTGCTTTCTTCTAGAGATTTTATAGTTGGAACTCTTTGCATGCTATACCTCACTTGGTCATTATGTATTACCCTTTTAAAATATTGCTGGATTTGATTTTGCTCCATCAAAAATTTTATTAAATGAGGGATCTTTGTTTATGAGGGATGCTATTCTCTAGTTATCTTTTCTTGTGTTATCTTTGTATGATTTTGGTATCAGGGTTGTGTGGTTATGTTATGGTTAGTGGGGAAGTGGTCCTTTGACTTCAATTTTTGAAAGAGATGTATAAGCTTAATATTATTTCTTCCTTAAGTGCTTGATGGAATTCACTACTTAAGTCATTTTTACCTTGTCCTAATGTATCTTGAATCAGTATTATGCCCTTTCAGTTATAGTTTGAGAACCTTGCAACAGTATATTTATATTACTACCCTTCAGTCCTTTGTTGATAATGGTTTCTTACATTTTATTTCTACATGTTACAAATGTCAGAATATATTAGTTTTTATTTTATACAATTACCTTTTTATCAAAAGTCAAGAAAGTGTCTTATATTTACTAGGGCAGAGGGCAGTTTTTATTCTGGTACGAATTTATTTACAGCACTAGGGTGTGATCCTTCCATGGGCTGATGTGCTAGGTATTACACATTCTTTCCATTCTGTCTGGGAAAAAGATGAAATATTCCCAACCATGTATGAGCTCTAAGAACTCTTTTTCTTTGAATTTTTCCTTGCTTCAGGTCATTGTTTCTTACTATGTTCAGGTCTTTACTTAGCCAAAAACTTGTGAGGACCCCTTCTGTAGTTCCCTGTTTTCTTCCCATGCAGCTCCCTTCCATCTGGTACACTGCCATGCAAAATCTAGTTAACTTGGCCTCTAAACTGTAAGTTCAGTGAGACTGTTGGATTCCGTTTGTGTTTCCCTTCCTGCATTGTCACCTGGAAACTGTATCCAGGCAGTAAGCTGGAGCAGTTTTTGTTTTGTTTTCAGTCTTTGCAAGTTTATTAAGATATTTTCTGAAAGTACATTTGGAGTATAAATCAGAGTTTACTATTCTGAATGCTCTGAAAATCAGGACTTGGTTTTGGTTCTTTCACCTCACTTTGATTGAGTCTTGTGTAAGTTTTCAGCCATGATAGAGCTACTTAAATTTGTTGAATATTTGGTGAAATATTTTGGTTTATATATTTATAAGATGTTATTTAATTGAGCCTATTGATTTTGAAAGGTCAAGTTTCATTTCAAGAATTTATGCATCCTTTTTTAGGGCTCAAAATCTCCTTCACCAAAACCAAACATGCCTATTCGATACTTCATAATGAAGAGTAGCAATCTGAGAAACCTTGAAATTTCTCAACAGAAGGGTATCTGGTCCACAACTCCTAGTAATGAGCGGAAGCTAAATCGAGCCTTTTGGGAAAGCAGTGTGGTTTACTTGGTATTTTCTGTTCAAGGATCTGGACATTTCCAGGTGAGCCATCCTGAAACAGTAAAAGGGCATTATTCTGGCTGTAGATTAGATCAGTTAAATCATAGAGGTTAAGAAGAAGCTGGGTTTTTATTGCATTGGAACGTAAGAATGCATTGTGCTTGACTGAGGATGAGGAATATATTGCACCTCTTCAAAGGAATGATAGAGAGGGATCCCTTTGTTTTTGCCTTGTTTTCCTAGAGTCTCTCCAGATAAACAATTTTTCCTTCTGAGGACAACTTAAGATTTCAGGTGGATTAAAAGTAATGACTAGTGTGACTTTTTGATAAAATGTTTATTTAAATAGTGCCAAAGAGATTAGTCCGACCATCAAGAAACTAAGTGTGTTTCTTAACTCAGCTTGACTTGATGTATATCTGAATTTATAAAATAATGGATTTATTATTTGATATAATTATCATTTTTTGAACTAAAAACCTAGAAGTTAGATTGTATTCATATGGTAATGGAATAAATGTAGGTTTAGAACTATGATACATTATTTAGAAAATATGTGTTTGTATTTAAAATTACATTAGAAAGCTGAAATCAGTCTTTCCTCTAAAATTTTCTAATTCATCTTTTTATAAGAAATACTTAATGAGTGGCTTTCTGGAATTTTGTTAGATATCTATTATTTTTATATTACATTGTTACCTTAGAAGTACAAAACCTCAGGGCTTTCTCAGATAAATTGAATTCAGAGGTCTTGATGTCATCCTCCCCTTTTCCCTCATTTTACTCACAGGGATTTTCTAGAATGTCTTCTGAGATAGGAAGGGAGAAGAGTCAGGATTGGGGCTCAGCTGGACTAGGAGGAGTGTTTAAGGTGGAGTGGATACGGAAAGAAAGTCTTCCCTTTCAGTTTGCACACCATTTACTCAATCCTTGGAATGACAACAAGAAAGTCCAGATAAGCAGAGATGGGCAGGTATACAATGACATTTACTGTTTTTCTTCCACTCTTTGTTTTGTTTGGCTGTTATTGAGTGACTTGTTTGAGGAACAAATGCAAGAATACAAATTGTATATTCCCTGTGCACATGGGAAGATAATGGTTCAATTTGTAGAAGAGTTAGTTAAAAACCTACCTGCAAAGGTGCCTGACAGAGCTCTTTTTTTTTTTTTAAACATTTTGTAAACCTGACTTTGCTCTGTCATTGTATATATAATCTTTCATGTCAGTTCTTGGAGTTTCCTATTGTCTAGCTAACGTGATATAATAAAAAACCTAGTGTAATTCTGAAGTAATTTCACTAAAGTCTAAGGATAAGAACAGTATCTAAGTTCTTTATGGATTTAACTAATGATATAAATAGCAGCAATTTTATATTTTTGTGGCTTGTTTTATTTCTGTTATGCTTTGCCTTCATGATACTGCTGATAGGCATTTTAAACTGGTTAAGGTGATAGGAATTAACATATATATTGATGACTGTGCTAGTTTCTTTATATGAGGTAGTTCAAATAGATTCAGAGAATCTATTTACAGAGTTATCTAGTTATTTATTTAGAGAGTTATCTAAGGCTATATCTAATACTTCATCTGAACAAGTGTGACTGTTCAAATAAACACATGAAAACTGTTAAGGTTCTTTTTAAGTGCACATGATGTCACAAGAGGACAATAAATGACATTCTTTTCAATTATGTAAGAATATTTTAATTTTTATTTGATAATAATTTTGAAATCAATTTCATTCCTTAAGAATATTATATAGTATCTAAGAATCTTTCTTGAGGGAAAAAACGCAAACATCTAAAATGCTAAGTATTAACATAAACGTTTGGAAGTACAAAAGCTGAGTATTTTTGCTAATCATCATGAAAACAAAATTCACTGTTTCCTGGGAGAAAAAATTCCAGAAGAACTCCCCAGAAATTTTTTACCATTTTGTCATGGGCAGTTGTAATATTTGCAGGTTAACTGCAACCTTGGACATTGGGAAGTCAACTCTAAGTCTTCATGAAAAGCATTAGAGCAGTGAAGGCGTAACACATGATTTTAGTAGAAATATGAAATTTGATTTTCTTACATTTTTATCAGTATAGGTTTCAATCTAGTTGTTTTTATGTTTATTGTGACTTTTGGTTTATCTAGGAACTAGAACCTCAGGTTGGTGAACAGTTGCTCCAGTTATGGGAACGCCTTCCGTTGGGAGAAAAAACCACAACTGATTAATATTCAGGTTATACCATACTTAACTTTGAGTACATGCATTATTTGTTATCATTAAGGAAATCTTTGAGATTATTTATATTTTCTTTTCTTCTTCTTCTTTTGTTTTTAACTCTTTCAGAACTCTTAGCTTTCAGAAGAACATCATGCTTCCTTATAACCATTGAATGCACTGACATCCAAAAACTGAGATGGGGTTGTGTTATGAATGAGCTTTTCTGGTTGAAAGTGTTTCTTGAGGACCACCATCTTCATATAAAAGAGAAAAGGATAATTTAATTTTTATAGTGATCATAGAGAATGATTATGTTTGTTAATATGTTTATAATTGAGAAATAGTTGTTTCTTTATTTAACACAGCAGCAGTTAACATATTTAATTTGAAGTTAAACGGTTGTTTGAAACACTGACTTAGATCTCTAATTGGTGATTTTTTTTAATGAAAGATAAATTGTTTACTTTTAAGAAAAGTCTGATTTTATCTGTCCACCTGAGCACCATTATAGAAGAGTCAACTCTAAAGATATATCATTAAAAACAAAGAAAAGCAAATGACCAAAATGTAAAAATGTCCCTTTAAAAAAGTATGTGCTAATTAAGGACTATTCATTCTGCTATTTTTAACCTGAGGTACCTTAAGGAAAAAAAAAAGAAGAAAGAATCTTCTTGTTCTGCAACTATATGAAGCACAGTAAAAACTGAAGAAAGGCAGAATTCCTTCCTGACTTGAATCACATCAGATTAAGTGCTTAATAGAGGTGCTACCTCTATTAACCTGCTGTGTCCAAACCATCCTTTCTCCTACATGACAATCTTCACTTATCTCTGATATAAAAACAGTGATTATGAACTCTTCATTTTGGCTAGAGAAACTTGATTTAGACAAGTTAAAGATTTAAGCAAGTTATACAAGTTGGAAAAAAAATGCTTGTAACAGTTAATGGTAACTTGATTTATGTATTTTTCCAAACTGAAGCTCCCAAACAACACACAATGTTTTCTAGTACTTTTTATCCTACTTATGTTTCCAGGTAAGGTTTCTCTCTTGCTCCTTTTTTTTTTTTTTTGCATTTGTGGTTTAATAAATGGAGAGTAACTTTTTGTAAACCCATGTTTAGTGCCAACTCTTTCTTTGCCATCTGAGAATTGTTTGGTTTGATCTCTTTACCACAGTTGTCTATAAAATTTCCTTAGAGGCTTTCTGAAGGGAAATGGAAGTTCAAGGAGAAATGAAAGAATTGTATTGGTTACTGAGTTCTAAGTGAAACAGGTTTGATAGCACTTCTCATGATGCATTTGGGTCATTGCTATGTAACAAAAAACCAACATGAATCTAATTTAAACACAAAAATAGTAAGTGTTCTGCTTCTTTATTTAAGAATAAAGAAGTGAAAAGTCATACATCAACATAAAATCTCGGGCACTCTTCTCTACTTTCTCTGGGAAAGCATTGTATGTTGGTGCACTAGTTTAAAATGCTGGCTGTAACTTTTGCCTATACTTGTAGTTACTGGGATTTTGATTGTTTTATACTTTGAAACATACCTGTAAATTGAGCCTGTGTGAATTATGTTCCACTATATGTATATTACAGTTCTTTTCCTATTAGAGCAAGTTGTGGTTTTCTGATAATGTATACATTTATTTAGGCATATATTTAGCAGTTCACAGTATTCTAATCTGGAAGTAAGAACTTCTAAAAAATAGAACTTGTTTCAATTTCCACCTGTATTCTAATATCTATCCCTGTATGTAAATAATGAGTTTGTTGATATTTAAGATGAACACAATTTGAATGTAATTAAAATGCTGTTTTTTTTTTGAGAGAGATGAACTTTAAATATACTTAATAAATGAAATTCTGTTAAATCATTTAGATTTTGTTATTTCTGACATTATCAATGATCAACAATTATCCCTTGAGATATTAATGAATTTCATACACTTTGAAAAATACTAAATTGCCATAGAAGGTGATGGCCTCAAATCAGTACCTTTCCCTAGAAAAAAAATTACCTTATTATGATAGGGGCATGAGAAAAATCCCAAGACTTGTTTTAACATAAAATCTTCTGATTATTAATAGGCTATGTAGCTGTCCACCTTCTGTTCTCAAGACGGCGCATTATGTACTGTGCCATTGTATCCAGCCTCACTCTACCAATTACAGCAAAGATAAACAATAAGGAAAGAATAATCTCAGTTGAGTACTTCAAGGAAAGGCATATTCATTTAAGAATTTGTTCTCAGAGACTCGTTCTTCACCATTTAAAATCTTATATCCTGAGACAGAGAAAATGTTGAGAAATAAGTCAAATGAACTTTACACCTGAATCAATACCAGGGTGAAAAGCTGGACACATAATTCACAGGTGACCACACGTCTTGGTCTGAGCGAGCTTCTCATACACAGATCCTCGCTGTGCTGCTGAGATCTCCATGATTGCTGTCTACCCAGAGGCCCACACAGTGCCAAGTGTGGCCAAGGCCACTGGGTGCATCGTGGTCTTTCTAGCCAAATATGAATTTCTACTTGGCTGTCTAATAGAATCTCAAATTCGGTATTTTCAAAATTTAGCCGCAATTCTTTCACCACAGTCTGTTCCATTTAAAGTTGTCCTGTTTTTGATTAGTGCCACTTTCATTTTTTTAGTTGTTCAAACCAGAAAATTTGGAGTTATACGTGATTCCTTTATTTCTGTCAATTCAATCCATCAGAAAATTTTCTTGGGTTCAGCTTCAAAATATATCTAGACTCCAGCTGTTTCTCACCACATGTGTCACAACTGCTCTGGACTGAGCCACTTTCATTCCTAAGATGTCTTCCCTTCTTTACCCTTTCCTCATGCTACCAGTCTATTTTCAACACAGAATCAGTGTTTAAAAGCATTGAATCAATTTATATTATTCTGTTTGCTCAAAACCCTGCAGTGCCTCCCCAATTCACTCAAAGCCAAAGTCCTTATAATGGCATAATGATCTGGTCCCCTTTTATGAGCTGGTCTCCTATTCTCTGACCATCTCTCCTCTGCTCTCCTCCTCTACGTATTCCACTTTAGCCACGTTGACCTCTTCATTGTTCCTTCAATATCAAGTACCTTCCAGCATCAGAGACTAGTTTTCTTTCTTCACTCTACCTGGAATGCCTTTCTCAGAATACCTGTTTGGCCAATTAGTTATGTCATCATTTAGTGTTAGCTTTACTGTAAAGTTTTTTTTTTTTTTTTAAAGAAACTATATCAATAACTTCAGATATGCAGATGATACCACCCTTAAGGCAGAAAGCGAAGAGGAACTAAATAAAGATTAAGGTGAAAGAGGAGAGTGAAAAAGCTGGCTTAAAACTTAACGTTCAAAAAACAGATCATAGCATCCGGTCCCATCACTTCAATGCAAGTTGATGGGGGAAAAATGGAAATAGTGACAGACTTTATTTTCTTGGGCTCCAAAATCACTGTGGATGGTGACCGCAGCCATGAAATTAAAAGACACTTGCTCCTTGGGAAAAAAAGTTGTGACAAACCCAGACAGTGTATCAGAAAAGCAGAAATATCACTTTGCTAACAAAGGTCCATAGAGTCAAAGCTATGGTTTTTCCAGTAGTCCGGTATGGATGTGAGAGTTGGACCATAAAGAAGGCTGAGTGCTGGAGAATTGGTGCTTTCGAATTGTGGGGTTGGAGAAGACTCTTGAGAGTCTCTTAGACAGCAAGGGAATCAACCCTGAATATTCATTGGAAGGACTGATGCTGAAACTGAAACTCCAATACTTTGGCCAGCTTTTGCGGAGACAACTCACTGGAAAAGATCCTGATGAAAGATTGAGGGCAGGAGGAGAAGGGGATGAGAAAGGATAAGATAATTGGATGGCATCACCGACTCAAGGGATATGAGTTTGAGCAAGCTCCAAGAGATAGTGAAGGACAGGGAAACCTGGCATGCTGCAGTCCATGGAGTTGCAAAGTGTCTTAATAACAACATTTTAACTTTAAAAATTAACAAGCAGTAAAATCAAATGTTTCTTAGATATATAGCTTTATGAATTTTCATACATGTACAGACATATGTAATTTATACCACAATGAGGATACAGTTCCATCACCTCCAAAACTCCCTCATGCTATTCCTTTGTAGTTACATACTCCTCCCACATTTAACCCCTGCCAGCTGTTGGTCTATTCTCTGACATTCTAGTTTTTTCCTTTTGAAAGTATATTAAAAGATTATACATATAACCTTTTGGGTCTGTTTTTTTTTTTTTTTCCACTCATCTTAATGCCTTTATTTATTTATTTATTTACTTTTTTTTTCCATTTATTTTTATTAGTTGGAGGCTAATTACTTTACAGTATTGTAGTAGTTTTTGCCATACATTGACATGAATCAGCCATGGATTTACATGTTTTCCCCATCCTGATCCCCCCATCCCACCTCCCTCTAGGTCTTCCCAGTGCACCAGCCCTGAGCACTTGTCTCATGCATCCAACCTGGGCTGGTGATCTGTTTCACCCTTGATAGAATACTTGTTTCAATGCTGTTCTCTCAAAACATCCCACCCTCACCTTCTCCCACAGAGTCTAAAAGTCTGTTCTGTACATCTGTGTCTCTCTTTCTGTTTTGCATATAGGGTTATCGTTACCATCTTTCTAAATTCCATATATATGCATTAGTATACTGTATTGGTGTTTATCTTTCTGGCTTACTTCACTCTGTATAATGGGCTCCAGTTTCATCCATCTCATTAGAACTGATTCAAATGAATTCTTTTTAATGGCTGGGTAATATTCCATGGTGTATATGTACCACAGCTTCCTTATCCATTTGTCTGCTGATGGGCATCTAGGTTGCTTCCATGTCCTGGCTATTATAAACAGTGCTGTGATGAACATTGGGGTGCACGTGTCTCTTTCATATCTGGTTTCCTCGGTGTGTATGCCCAGCAGTGGGATTGCTGTGTCATATGGCAGTTCTATTTCCAGTTTTTTAAGGAATCTCCACACTATT